CTTTTTCTTCACCAAATCACTCTCAATTGACAAATTGTGAAATACTGCAATTGAAATACTGCAAACTTAATTGTATTAACTTTGAAGAAAACTAACATTAAGGAACTAATCAAGAAAGAATAGATAAATGAAATAAAAAGGGAATGACGTAAGAATTGGGCAGACAAGTCACTGCCTGGTAATTTCTACCGACTCAATATGATATTTATATTGTATCACTGTAGCCGACGCACAGAACGTTTGATTGTACGGTGGTGATATGGATCAGAGACGAAATTTAGAACAGACTATTCGTGACTTTGTCAGATCACAACTATAACCTTTTATTTGAATAACAACAGATTGAACCACAAACATTGACATGTGCTCTTTAGTTAACAAATACGTTGTGGTAGAATATTTATCTTATTGAAATGCACTTATCTGATAATTTACATTAAACAGGTTAGACAGATTAGAGTCATGTAAGGATCTGTCCAATACTTAGTAATAGCATTCCAGTAAAAACTCATCCTTAGCGTAAAATATTACAGATATATGTATAAAGTTGTAACATTGATTATTAATTATTAATCGTTTTAATAATTTTACGAACAACCATCGATGTCTAGAAGTGTCTAAAGATGTATAAAGTGATGTTCACATCTTTATTATACCTCTCTAATGTATTTGTAATCCATTTCCAACATTGAGATAAATAATCAATCTCTAATTATTCACGAATATTAGAAAAGATTACATAATTTTATACAAGTTTAATTATAAACATTTTTCAAATGCATCTAATTTATCAAATTAATATCAGGATTTATGCCCACAATGTTTTCGTTGATTCTTTTACCAGAAACCACAGCAGTAACAGCCACATAAAAACAAACAAACACCAACACACGGCAGCAAAACATCAACAATAAATAAAAAACACAGAAACAACAAAAAAAAAAACAAAAAAAAAAAAACAACAACAATGGATCATTCATACTCAATTCATATCATGTACAATAAACAGGCTAAATATAATTAAACCAAGTGCCTCTCTTGAACCGTCGTCATAGTTGAAAAAAGGTTTAAAAATGTAGAATTGTAGGATTGTTAATGAACGTGTTGTTAGCATGTCCTTTTTCACGTGTCACTGTAAGTCATTATGTACGCTAGGCTTAACAAGTGTCTCATTATTTGACCCTTGAAAAGATTCTGCATATTCTAGCTGCATAACAACTGATTTATTTACAATGGAAATGCAAATTAAATTATACAACTTGAGAGAGAAAATTGTATAAGCAATAGCCAACAAACAGCCAAATATACATCTTCCTTTATAACATATCGAATGATATTGACAATCCCATAATTGTGTCGTATCGGATATTCTCGCTCTTTGATTTTTAAGACTTTGCCTGCTAAAGACAACATATTCTACATATGCGACTAGAGCAGACCAAGACCAACATATTTTATGATAATAAACGTTATTTTTTCACGTTTGAAAGATGGGCATGTTCATTTAAGATATTAATCATGGTTATGGTTAAAAACATAGCTTACTATTAATTCAACACATACATGTTCAGTCAGGGAATTCAATTAAAATGTTTAGCTTCTGGTTAGCCTACTGTAGTAGGTGATATAAATACCAGGTACAGGATGTTTATAGGTTTTCATTTCGAGAAAATAGATTTGTTTATTCTAACTCTCATAAAAATAGAGGGAAATATCTACAAATATCGTTTTAGCAATGAGAGAAATTAACCAGATCTTAGCATAGTAGTAACACAATGGCTTAAGTGCTCATTGCTACATGATAGTTTACTTTGTTAATTTTCCTTAAATGATAAATTAGCTTAGACAGACAGATATTTTCACTAATTTATATTTATCTATTTATCATTTCTACTTTAATACTAAAAAATAAACATAATTTTTTCTCAAATGATATATAAACATATACAAACAAATACTTATCCTTTAACATATTTCTCCTACTAAAACAATACTATTTATCATTTCTTATTCCATAACAACGAAATGAAATAGTTTAGGTCTAGTTTAAGCAAATATATACAGTCAAACAAACTCTAGTCTTTGAGACCATTCAGGAAAAAGGGGAAATAACTGTACAGAGATATTATTAACGTCTCAAAGGAGTTATCTTATACTTCATGTAAAATATAATATTTTTTAATTCACAAGTCATTCCATACATATTTATATAGTTTTAAAGGGAATCATTAAGAAAGCATACTCAGAGTGCATGCAAAGTTAAAATGTAATTTATGTTTGTGTTTATCAGTAACTATGGTAACAATTATGCGTGAAATATTTATTTCACTCTCAACTCTCTTAACACAACTATGTAACAACTCTGGAACAACCTTGTAACATTTATGTAAAAATTCGATTTCTGACCATTTAAGTTGTAACATTCTATAACATTTCTAACAATTAAATATTAAATTTTCATTTCACTCCTAACTTTCGGAACATTAGTAACAATGCTGTAACCACAACGTACAGCGAGCGAGTAAAATGCAAACTGCCGATTTTGTACTGAAAATTGATAAATAAGTTCAATGAAGATCAATTATTGAGGAATTGCTACTTTTATAACTAGAAGTTACATAAAAGAGATTATTTCTGGTCTAAGCCATTTGGTAAAACTTAGATACGATTTTTCACCCCGATACTCAATAAGTGTCACAACTTGTAAACGTCGACGTCGATGTTGAAGTTGCCGGTGTAGTCTATTAAGTCGGAGTCATGGTCATTGCTGTAGTCTCAGTCGTAGTTTTGGTAGTGGCCATAGTTGTTCTCGTAGTGGTAAATCGTAAAAATAGTAATCGTGGTCGAAGTCGCCGGTATTATCATTGACGTAGCTGTATTTGTAGTCGCATAATTCATAGTCGTAGTAATGATCGTAATCGTAAAAGTCGTAGTGTTAAACTTATTCATAAGAATTATAGTAAAAGTAGTCGTCGTAGTATTCGTAGTTGTACTCGTTGTTATCAAATTATTGGCGTAGTCCTGTCATAGATTAAAGTTGTATAAGCGCAACTCGAAGTACAAGTTTCACTTCAGTTTGACATTAAAACTGAATAAAGAACTTAAGGAGCGATCAAAAAGAAGTAGAAATTTATTAAGAAACATATTTTGAATGTTTGTTACGATAGTGAGACAATTATACCATTATGTTCCTTTTGATTAGTAATGCATGAATATGGTTTGACCAAAACCCGACTTTACGTATGAAGAACAAGATATGTTTTATTAGTTTATAAAGATAAAAGATAAGAAACACTCTAAAAGTCTAGTCGTCATGGATATCAAAAAATATTTAACATTTATTTACCATATTGTGGAAAGGTTTCTCTCAAATATACATTGTATGAGTCTTTTCTATAAGATCTGCCGGAATAAAATAAAAACTATTTACAAATCTTTATTAAGTAGCAGTCATCAAATTTCTGTGAATTTACATCTGTATTTGATAAATGTTGTATAATTAACCTCAGATAATTTCCAAATATTTTAATTTGTATCTAAAAAATTCTTAATTGTGTATTTGTTGATAGCTACCTCTTTCACATGATAAAATAACATAAAATATTGATAAAAAATATTATTAACTCTTATATATACATTTAAGCCACAATAAAGCAAATGGGATAAAAGAAAGACAAATTTCTTTGATATGGTTTCTTTATAGCAAAGATTTGTGATACGCCTTAGCAAATAATTTCAATATTCAAGATTTTGTGATTAAGTTGTCACAATTTGGTTTTTGCTGACATATGTTGGAGAACAGATACCACTTATACAAATTCTTAAATATATCAGTATATACTGGACAATTAAGCATTAATCTTCAACAGATTCAAGACAAATACAGCATGTTCTGTTCAATTAAGACACCAATATTAAGATTTCGGCCTATCTCTTTCCTTAACGGTGCTACTCTACATCGAAATATTCTGGAAGCTGATCTATGCTGTCAATATAAACGCAGATATAAACTTTTGTATGTTCTGAATTTATTGCCACCATTGTCCCTTACTGTGTTATATCATTCTAATGTTAACTTCCGTTAACTTTAGGTTTTTGAACCTAATTGGAGTGCCTTTCAGGTATTTCTTTTCATTCTTGAATAGGGTTTTAGATCATTGAAGTTAAGATAACTAGATTATTCATCTTTACACGAAGTAAGGCATCGCTCTATTGACTTGCCACTGTTAACACAGTTTAAGCAAATTGGCTGACTGGCTGTCTGAAATGGCCTTCACAAAAGAACATATGAGCCACGTCACGACAAAACCAACATAATGGGATTGCGACCAGCATGGACCGAGACCAGCCTGCGCGTCTGCGCAGTCTGATCAGAATCCATGCTGTTCGCTTACCAACCCTATTACAAGTAAAGAAACTGATAGCGAACAGCATGGATCCTGATCAGACTGCGCGGATGCGCAGGTTGGCCGGGATCCATGCTGGTCGCAAACGCACTATGTTGGTTTTGTCATGACGCGGCCCATATATATTTTGCTTTGTGGAACAGTTTGTTAGAAGTTGACGTGGCAATGAAAAGAAGAGGCGGGTTTAATTTTTCGTTTGCTGAAAAAACCTGAAAGGACCATGATTCGAACAGTAAAGGGAAAAAAAACCTGATTTCCTGAAAGGTTCCAGATTATTTGTATGTTTAAAATAAAGTGTGTCACACACCTTTCATTTCACTATTAGAAATGACAAATTTATACAAAGCCATGACTTTTAGTTTTAACACACTATTCTTTTTCATTGAAAACCACATCTCGTGTCATATTCCGGTTTGCTTTGTAAAAGATATAAATATTGCCGTTGCTGATGGCATCAATCAATAATTCGGATTAAATGTCTCATTTAATTAATTGATTATTAAAAAGTTCGATAATTTTGTCTTACATTACATATATTATATAGCGGTTTTCTATAAAAAAAAACAAAACAAAAAAAACAACATGAGTAACTTTTCAAGCGAATAAATTAGTAGAATGACAACGTAAACGTAAATTGCGGCTGTCTTTGTATAGTTTCCGATTCTTTTTCTTTGATTTGATATTCTGCTGAAGCTTCCTATAAAAGTATAATGTCATACTGTCAGCAATTACCGGAAGTGATATCACAACTGTGAGCACTATTGCTCCCACGGTCCCAAAGAATGTAGCAGACGCTCGTGAATCGGACGCACTCGTGTGCTTTCGAATGTATGATGAAGTTGATTTAATGTCCACAGAGAGGTTCGAGATCAGTTCGTTAACAATTTGGTCCTCTACTTTACCATCAAAAGAACTATTTGATTCCATGGTATAAAAGAGCTGACAATAGTTTGAAGGTATTGGTGATAATCCGCAATTTGGAAGATTAGGGTCAACATTGGTTACTGAGATATTTCCAGGCGTATCACTCACTGAAATATTGCAACCTGTCTTCACTCCATGCGTTATGTTTTCAAATCCTGGCTCTACCTCGTATGTAACCATTCCGAATCCGGATAGAATATTAAACATCGTACAGTTTGAAGAATTGTAGTTAAAAGTAAACGATAAACATGCATGGTGTTCTGTACATGTATGCATACAATCATTAAACGTGTTTATTGAGTCGTTAAGCACAAGATATGCTCCCGACAAGTTTTGTCCGGTTGCAAAATTAACATATAAAGACCAATATGCAGGATCTGCATTGTTATAGCATATATATGGCAACATTTCTGAACAGTTTTTTGCCACATGTCGCTGAGACTGTGTGTACGTTTCCCACTGTACACCAGCACATTGATGAAACTGTTTAATGTCACCCGTTATAACAATACTGTCGTGAGATTGTTCACAACCGTTCCCTTTCAGTCGATACCATTCTTTTATGTGAAAATATGGTCGAAAATGTCCTGTCCAAAATGTAATGTTTTCAGGAAATCCAGCACGTTGTATAACTTCTCGGACGGATACCCATTGTCTCCAGTTCTGATTGATGAATATTAATCCCTTAAACCCCAATTTTTTACAACTATATTCCGCTTCAGTCCATGATAAAGACTCGTTCAAAACAAGAATTTTGTAACCATTAAAGCTAAAACACGGAGTAACGTTTTGTGGCTCTAAAGTGTCTATTTCGACAGTCGTATAAGAAATATTGCAAAGAACAAAGGGATACAGTAAGATTAACAATTGAGAACAAAATAATCCAATCGAGTTTATCCGAGATAAAGCCATCACGACAAATAATTTGCGATTGAGGATACTGTTTGAAACAGTAAAGATCATAAATAAGAGTTGAAAAAGTGAACATAATTATACTTGCTGTCATTAATAACGATGCTGAAAGTTACACAGCACTGGGTGCATAATTCACCATGATCTTCTTACTTGAAAACATTATTGATTAAAAGTCCTAACAGGTTTGCTCGGTACTCTGTTTTTACATTTTTCTAGTCATGCGTAATCATTGCTTGGTGCATTTAGAATTGAAGACACCGTGACCATCGGGTCCACAATAGTTAAAATGAATGCTGCCTAATAATCGTTGTCCTTGCTTGAGAACTGAACAGTTCGTGACCATCGCTTTATAAAAATGCTTGAGAGCCGGTAGGTTTGCTTTGTAGAAAAGCTTGAGAACTGAACAATACGTGTCCATCTATTTATAAAATGCTTGAGAAATGAAAAGTTCATGACCAGCGCTTTATAAACATGTCTGAAAACTGAAAAAAAAAATGTTTTAGAATCTTTATAAAAGTTATTGAGAGCCGGAAAGATCATCTCCATCGCTTACCATGCTAATACTTGAGAACTAAAAAGTTCGTATCCATTGCTTGATAAAAATGCTCGAGAACAGTTAGTTACTATCGCTTTTGTAAAAATGCTTGAGAACTGAACAGATCATGATCATTGCTTTATGTGCTTTAAAACTGACCATCGGCTTCAGTGCTTCTTAGATGAATATCGCTTAAACTTAAGAAAGCCTCTTTTAAACGGACATCTACCGTTAGAATTATCTACTTAAAATAATTTAAATATATTGTTTTCTTACTTAGAATATGTTAACTCGCCTAGAAGAACTAAAACAAAATCATCGACCTAATCAACGTGGTTATTACATATATGACTAAGATTAATGGGTTTACATGATGTCGCGTATATAATGACTGGAAGTATATCATTGATTTCGCCTACATTAAGCGATATGGCGATTATGGATTCCTTTGTCTTACTTTCATTTCAAACATTTAACTGATCAAACATAACTGTCATAGAGATAAAAAAGATGAAACTACATTTTTTTTTTCAAAAACAAAATCGTTTGTTTTCAAATGATTCTTTCATATATAACAGAGATTGCTTCGGTATGATTTTGTCTGCCATTGTTTGGTTGTCAGTACTGTCCATTAAAATAATATCATGTTACAATTACAACAAGAGATTTGTGTGCTTTTAATTAAGGTTATATAACCAAGTAGTACTGTTTTATGAAGTTCATACAAAAGGACATGCAATTAGATAATCATAACTGACGGCCTCCTAGAATGAGGAGTGATCAATATGCGTGCAATAATGTACTCAAAATCAAAGGTGCTAGTCGCATTGATTTGACCTAAAATATGTTTAATCTTGTTTTTTATATAATAATTATATCCATATATTAAAAATTTAAGAATAGAAAAAAATTTTTCGTAACATTGTCTATAACAATTGACAAAAATCAAAATTTTAGTTTTTCAATTTATGTTTTTTTAATATATGGATATTATATTACACGGATAACAAAATTAAACATATTTTCGGTCAAACCAATGCGACTAGCACCTTTCCATTTCACTTAAATTGATTTTAAAAACGTTTGTCCACGAACGTGTTTTGTTTACTTTCTTACATTTAACGTTGTTTTAGCAACCATAGCATGCCTTTCCATCGCAGATAAAAAAATGGGTTGAATCATACATAAAAAACGAATGCAAACGTTACAAAAAATAAATGACATCATTTCTTTATGCTTACATTTTCCCGTTAGCGTTAAAACAACGTCAATGTCATGTAACGTGGAATTATTAATGAGGATTTCGAGCAACGAACATGTGTCATTACGTCGATCATGAAGAAAGAGATGTGATAAAGGGTCCGTAATGCCAGTTCCTGAAAGGGCGGATAGATCCCCAGTAAGCATAGACAACAGTACAGCACAGAGCTCTGATAAAATTGTGGAAACACGCCGATTGAACACGATAACAATGAACTTAAACATACATACATTTTGCAACATTATGTTTTACATCGAAAGGGAAAACACTACTATAAGAAAGAGGAATAACTGTAATAATTAGGATAAGCATCATTTTTCCTGATTTGTCCCCCTTCAATGAACATAGTCGAGCGTCATTGAACAGTTTACGAATATACCGGTAAGTTCACGAGTACAATTGATTTGTGTTCGTTTCGTTTCCCAAAATATGTCAATGACATGCAACATGTTTTTGATCAATCTAGCTAAAGTTCAGAATTTCTTATGTGTTCGATCACATGTACCTAAAGCGTTGCATCATTTAAGAGATGATTTCATCATATTAAAGTCGTGCATTTTGTAGTTTTGACATGCATCATAGACTAAGTTTAAACCCTATAAAAAGGGACTGTATCTGTGTCTCGCTCTTTTTTGTCATGTCAGATGATTTAATAACATGCAAGGTACATTGTACATGTACAAGTTCGCTTTATGATTTATCTCTATATGTGTTAGATTTAAATAAGTGAGTGAGTGAGTGAGTGAGTGATGAGTGAGTGAGTGAGTGAGTGAGTGAGTGAGTGAGTGAGTGAGTGAGTGAGTGAGTCCTTTTGTGTGTAAACGTTTGTCCTTAAATATAAGGAGCTACTTTTATTTTGCAGTTGTACCATTTAAAATTGTTTCAATATGCACAGAAAACACTGGACACCAATTAGTCAGAATAATGAATTAAACTTCTTTTTTCTGTGAAGATAGTCTACTTCCGCTTTAAACATACATGTATTTGCAAATGGGTTACCACTTGTGTGTATAAAGCCTACATATCAATTACCATTGAAAAGTTGGAGATCGACTGTATTTATCTTTTAGTTAACCGAAACCAGATTTTGGATAAAATTACGTGTATTCCCATATATCTAATTTTGCATTTCTCTTTGATTACACAGAATATTGTGTTTTTAAAATTAAAATGTAACGTGTGTTTTGGAATTACTGCTTCATAGAACGCGATAATATTCGAAAAGGATTTATATTTATATAAACTTGAATATGGCGTTAACTGAAGGTACATACAGCATATTTTATTTTTTTTAAATAATTTTATAATGTCGACTACAGGGATGGGTATAGATTACATAGGAGGTCATGATGAATGTATATTATATTTCTTATTGGTTGACAAATATTTAAATTCCTGTGATTTCATACGATTGTATATCATTTAATGGACTTTCTGTTAAAGTTAACCTTTAACATAAGTTAACCTTTAACATGCTAGAAAAGAAATGGGGAAATTAATCTTTAGCACAGGTATAGATCAGGTAGCTGTATTTTTATACTTGAAACCCCTAAAACGTTAAATGGACTGTTTCAAACTCAAAGCTTGGTATATTAATCACATCAATCAAGCAGGTTAAGTGGAATGTGATGCAAAACAAATGCTTATTATTTTGTATGATAATATTTATTTGTAATGTATAATATTAATATGTACATCGTAATATTATAGGTGTTATGAATGGCTACGTTTTGTTCAAGTTTAAGTCTACTTTAATATAGATAATCATATCTTTATCATGTAAACCTCTGGTGAATGAAAACCGGGAATCTTGTAAACAAAAGTGATTTAATTGAGCTGTCACGAGGTACGACACGTGTATTTAAGTTGTCGCCCTTTAGTGTTAACTTTTAAACACAAGATAATACCTTCAATGTAGTATAAAAAAATAGTCTGATTTTATTGACCTGTCAATTTTGAATACATTATAGCACTCATTTAAATATTCGATTTCACTTCGGTTCTGTCCGTGTAGTTTACGAGAATTAATATGGAGTAAAAAATTAATGTTTCGAAAAGTCACACCAGCTTAATGCATAGGCCTTGTCAAATCCGCGATAGCACAGACGGTAGAGTGATTGTCTAATATACTGGGGGACTGTAGTTCGATCCCTACTTTTGCCGTTGTTTTAAGGCCTACTCTTTTTTTTATTTTTGCAGTACATTTTCATGAAAATGGCCGAGTGCTTCCAATATTGTCTACACATATATATGAATCAACTAAGAAATATTGTCTCAATTTGTATTGTGTTTAACGCCATTGAAACGACACTTTCTAATTTTAATCCGAATTCATTATAAATTTTAATTATGAAAGCATGTTATTTAAAAGGAGTTTAATTGCTAAACATATTAAATCAAAACGAACAACATAACAAGCAATTATAGTTCCGATAATGTTGAAAATAGTTATAAGAAGAAGAAGAAAAAAAAAATTGGAGGTACGCGGTCTCGATCTCACAACACGTAGGACACTTAAAGAAATCATTAACCTGTAGCTTACCCTATTTCGCTATACCGCACAATATAATTGCTCCATATACACAAATTATATTTAATCAAATCTCACTGAGTACATCTCACGGAAATTACCGAAAATCTTTCGAAGATTAATATATTAATCTGATGTAAATTAACTGTGATTGCTCACGTCACAACATTCTTTTTTTAAATATATTTTCAAAATTTTCATGAAAATTAGCATGAATCTTTAGACAGGCTGCATATTTCACAAACTTACCTAATACTTTGCTGCCAGTTCTATAATGATTTAAGACTATTTGATGCTGTTTCTAACCTTTGTACTATAACACTTCATATACATGCACCTTACTAATCGGAGACCAGAATCTTAGCCATGATATTAATTCACAGTTCAGGTATATATACGTGAAAGTAACCGATTTTCATGAGCTTAGTTTCACAAAATAGTTTGCCAATTTGTTATATCCGAACGAATCTTCTTTACCTTTTTTCTCATTCTATTCAATTATTTATTTTCTTAAAAATAAGATCTTTTGAACTATAGCCAGTTTTACTGTGATTGAATTTACAGTTTAATTTTAATGATTTTTTTCCATTCCATATCAGTTAATTATTAACTTCGTTGTTTCAAAAAATATTACAAATACTGTCATAATTTAACTGCATAGTACAAATATACTGGAGAAGACCTTTATAAGCTTTATAACTTTCGGCTCTAATCCTTTTTCATTCGTGTATCTATTATTGTAAATGTATTATTAACATGTTGTATTAAACTGTGTTTAAACTAATTGCGCTCCAAAATAGCGGCAAGCTTACAGATAAGGAAATATATAATGATTTAAAAAACTTAAACCTTAAGAATGTTATAATTATGCTGCGAGAAATGGATCAATGATCACAAACCAGGCGAATGATATCATGTACTATGCAAACTATGTCTCAAGTTATATAGCTGTATTACCAACATTCTGAAAATGTTTATATTTTCCAGTCCTAGTGTCAATTACATTGCAAAGTAATTAATAAAGCTACACATTACATTGCGTGTTCTTTATTAATTTGTCCATTACATTTCACAACGGACATTAATTAATTAAATTACAAATACATTTCAAATGTTATTTAATATATTACACACTATTTTTAATGATGAATTTCATTTTAAACACCGCAACTTTGGGTTCATGGTTAATGCATTTAGAGATTGCACTTTTCTAAAATACTTTTGATTCGAAGAATTTGTCAAACAATTTGCCTTAAATCATATAATATTATGTTATTTTTCTACCTAGCCCGGGGTTAATCACTTAATTGGTACACTTGAAACAGTTATACTTATTAGAAAAATGTTTACTTTTTTTTCAATATCAACGCAAATTTGAAGGCGAATTGCTTTAATAAAATCTGGGTCTAAAAACATCAAAATAATTGTTTACAGTTATAAAATATGCATAAAAAATTGCAGTTTCCATGAGATGTAACAGTTGATATGTTTCACTTGACACAGATATAAACACCCCTTCTTGCAGCCGGTTAACGAGCGTGTTATAATTAAAGTCAAAATTTACAAAATAAAACATTGTAACGGTTTGAATTTACAGCAGAAATAACATTGCAAATACAATGTACATGTACTTTACTTTAATGTGTTTTCTAGTTCCATATAAATGTACGAAATGTACGAGTATGTCTTTTGATAACATTTTATTAAAAACAACTACAATGTGCGGGATAGTATAGCGCTTTATTAAACACAAATTGTTATACCTTTTTATGGCAACAAGAACTCGACTATGAAAACTGTGTTTGTTGTTAAATCATTATGTAATTCTGTCCCTGAAATAAAACTTACGTGTCTAAATATATATTGACTCTTGTCTAATTTTAGCGTAACTGTCTTAAAATGAATAAAAATTTTATAGCAAAAATTATTTCAAACGGAGTCAAACGGCGATACTCACGTAACCTTTAGTTATTTGTTCGAATGACTTGTATTACATAGTATAATATCTTTGTTTGTTTGTCTGTTTGGGTTTTACGTCACACCGACACAGTATAGGTCATATGGCGACGTTCCGCAGGAAGACCTCAGGTGCCCTTCCGTGCATTATTTGAGGCACGAACGGGTATCTGAGTAGAACCACCGACGTTCCGTAAGCTAGCTGGATATCTTCTAAACATGAAAGAATCCAAAGTCCCTGTCAGGATTCGAACCCACAGCGGTAAGGGACAAGTGGTTTGAAGTTTAGTATAATATATTAAAAGCGTAACAGACTCTCTATTCGAAGTAAAATATGTTCATGCAAATTCCATGTGAATCACATTTTAGCCGTTTGAAAATATATCTGTTGTCAATTTGCTTATAGAAAACGGCGCAAGTGCAGACATGTTAACGGGACAGCAGCTACAAGAACAAGGTATCAATTCTACCGACTTGCTATTTTTCGATTTCCTGCGTAACAAAAATGACATTGACCTTCACTATAGCTGGCTTAAAGATGAAAAGACGTTGCGTATAAAAACTGATACAAACGATGTGTCCAGCAAAGCTAAGGGGCTTATTCATTCTCTCCGGTGTGCCTTGAAGGAAATATATCAACTTGAGGAAGAACAGTTTAGAAACGCCGACGAATTTGTGAATAAATGGGAAAGTTTTGATCAAATTGGCAGTGTTTTCATGGTCAGACTTAAACATCAATTTATAATTATGGCATTGCAAGAAAATGTTGACCAATTTAAAGATTGTAAACGTAAATTCGAGGTTAATTTTTTTAAACAAATTTGTTATAATACATTTGAAAGAATTGAAGTCAAAATTATCAATGGCAGTTTTGAAGACTTGGATGATGTTGATGCCATAGTGAATCCAACGGACGATCAATTTGGGCAGATAGGACTAGTTTCACGAACATTATCAAAGAAAGGAGGCAAATCTTATGATGAAGAATGCAAACGGCTTAGATCATCCAAAATGCCAACTCCAAAGAAATGTTTCGTTACGAGTTGGGGCAATGTCAAAGAGAAATCAATCCTGCATGTTGTGTGTCCGAATATTCAAGGAGAGAAATCACAAAATATTCAAACAACTGTGTATGAAACTATCTATAACTGCCTGAAAAAGGCTGAAAGAAAGAACATAGCAACAGTTGCTATCCCGTTCGTTTATACAGGTACTTATGGTTTAAGTTTCTTTTTTCTGCATCGTTATTTTAGTTCTACTGTTTTATTTAAAACGTATGATACATGTATTAGTGAATTATTGAATTGTAAATAAAAACATTCTTTCTAGTCTATGTCCGATTAAATAACTAATTTTTATGGTATAAGTTATTATTTTACGTTACAATATTTTATCCTCCGGGGATATAGTAATTAAAACGCCCTTCATTATGTAGAGGTAAATTAAACCGGCTATTTGTATATTTTAAAGATAAACCATGCATGTTTGAGAAAAATATCTTTATCGCAGAAATGTAATAAAATCCGTGAAATTCTTACCGAATAAGTCTAACTCTTTACCGTATACAGTATATATTGATAAAAATCAACGCAAAATAGTGATTTTTGGCAATTTTGAGATGTCCCCTCATTGCCATGGTAACTGGAAATTTAAGTCTGAGCATGTAAAAATCAACGCAAAATAGTGATTTTTGGCAATTTTGAGATGTCCCCTCGTTGCCATGGTAACAGGAAATTTAAGTCTGAGCATGTTGTTACAGAGGCAATGGTCCAGTCAACATTTGTGCCAAGTTTGATTAGTATTGAAGTATTTTTCATAGTTTTATAGCAATTTGAACTTGTAACAGGAGACTGTTCAATGAAAACAGCCATTTTTCACAAAATGCTCATAAAGTAATGGGTTAATGAAAGAAGAAAATATTCTACAAAACAACAATTTTTCTTCAAATTTATATGTTAGGCCATGTTTAAACATTGAAAAACGCGATTTTGTGTAATTTCAGGTATTTTCATCATTTTTTTGTTAACCCTTTACCTCATATATACGCGAAACAATCCTCTTTTAGGCCTCAAATAGTGAAAAAAAGTCCTGTTTGGGCCCCATTCACATGTTTTCGTTTGAGAAATGTTGATAAAAAAGGGGGATGTGCCCCCTTCTGTTTACGGGCTTGAAGGGGGGCGGCAGTCCCCCTCATCGCCAGGAAAATTTTGGACTTGTGAGAGGCTAAAAATGACCCCAGATCGATCATAAGATAAGGTGTAACCAACGCTGAAAAGCATTTGACTCTATCTCAATCCATTCAGAAGTTGCATCACTTTGAAATCAATTTTGATGGTAGAAATCAATGCAAAATAGTGATTTTTGGCAATTTTGAGATGTCCCCTTGTTGCCATGGTAACAGGAAATTTAAGCATGAGCATGTTGTTACAAAGGCAATGGTCCAGTCAACATTTGTGCCAAATATGATTAGTATTGAAGCATTTTTCATAGTTTTATAGCAATTTGAACTTGTAACAGGAGCCTTTTAATGAAAACAGCCATTTTTCACAAAATGCTCAAGAAGTAATGGGTTAAAACAAACAAAACAACAACAAAGTGTTTAATGCCACCATATATTCATATTATATTCACCTATACTGTTTAAAGTTTAAAACAGTATTTTTCCAGATTCATGCTATTTATAATAAAAATTTTGAAAATGTATTTTAAAGTAAATTTTATTGATAATATACATGCCTAGGGTGACATGCCTAGGGTGAACCTCTTTCGTAAGGTCGGGTAAGTGTTCATTTTAGTCAAGGTCAAGCTCACCAATGCCAAAATAGATTTTTACTTTTTTAGAGGTAAATCCTTTATCTATTGACAAAGGCCTTCCATATTTGATTTAAATATAAATTGGGTAGCCTTCTACCTTTGTGTAGCGAAAGGGGGTCATTGTGGTCAAGGTCACTATTGCTAAAATACATTTTAACTATTTTGCTCATGCAGACCTTATTTATTGACAGAATGGTTATTTCACATTATTAGGAAAGTAAATTGGAAGGTCCTCCCTTGATCAAGGAGGACGTGGTTATTGGGCGCCAAAAAGATGTTTACACATTTGCATGTAACAGACTTTCTTTATTGACTGGTGCATTTCATTTTGAAAAGAAATATTGGTTTGGGTCACTGGGTTCAAGGTCAATGGCTTGCATCTATATATAATTGATTAATTTTGTTGGTTAACTGAAAATGTTCAGTTTCACCAAATGGCGCTAACATGCTACGAAAGATCATTACTTTTACCAGTTATATATCTGTGTTAGCAATATTTTTTTGCTTTTTTACTGTTCACAACGGAGTGCATGGGTAAACCTTTTAGAAAATTTGTAAATGGCAATTATAAAGGCCGGGCACATTTGTGTTTACCAAACATGTTCTTGTTTTTATTCTTTCATCAATATATATATTTTAAGGTGAATATGTCTGATGGAAATAAATAAAAAAATCTTAAATTCTCTTTTTAATTTGTTAAGGACGACGCAATGTTCCGGTGGATAAATGTGCATTGTCGTACGCACAGGCTGTTTTACAGTTCAGTATGGATAGGGAAAACGATTTTTCTGTAAATACAATATGCTTCGTAGATACGGATGAGGAGAAGACAAAAGTTCTTGTTTCTTATTTTGACGAGCTTTTGCCGAAGACTGCGCTTCAAATATTTGAGATGCCAACCCATGAAAATTTTCAAATCCGACCAATATCTCTACAGGAAAGTGAAGTTGCGAACGAATCTCCAAAGACAGCGGAAGTAAAAGAATTTAGTTTCCAAAATAGTTCCATAAGACATCAAACCGAGAGGGACAGCTGTGTAAAAGATGAATACGAAACAATTAAAGCACATCTTAAACTGGAAGCTCCATATGATGATCTATCAAATATCAAACATTTCAAACTAGCAACCAGCAATGATATCGATAACAAAGCAACAGATGACAATTATAAAGACATAAAATTCGCTGATGATTCTGATGAGTCCGATGGGGAAAAGGCTGAAGATGAAAGCATGGGTTTAGACATCCAAGTTGAAAATTCCGACACAGTTGTTAGTGAAAACACTGAAGCAAAACATAATGAAAGTCAAAATGTAATTCCCATTGACAATGGTGATAAAGATCAAGTGGCAATTCTGAGGTCAGGTCTTACAATAATCTCCGTCAATGTCTGTGAGGAATTGAGCCGAGGGACAAATATACAATCGAACGAATATGAATCACCAAAAGAAACAGAGAATGAAACGGATAAATATTCAGTTGACAATATACAAACACCCACACTGATCACATCATCAAGTAAGGTGGTTACTGTTGATGTTACTAAAGGTAATGAAGTGAAAAATAAAGCTGACCAATATGAAACTCTTCAAAATTCAAAACAATCTGATAACTATGATGCTATAAAAAACGAAACTCAAAATGATAAAGACATTTTGAACCGTACTCAGAAAACCGTTGGAAATGTTTTGATTATAGATGAGACCATCCCTGATTCTAATGGTGCAGAGAACGCCACTATAATGCAAGATTCTGAAGTCAATAAAGTAACTTCCGAACATATCAATTTACAACAAAATTTATCAACGGAAACAGAACCCTCAAGTCCAGTCATTAAAAAACAAATGAATGATGAAGAAGAAGAAAACAATAAGGTTGATTTTGGTAGCAAAGATGTACAACAAAACGGAAATGAAAATACATCATTATATGTAAATCATAGCGAAATAGATAACAAAGAAGGAATACACATAGAAAAGGAAAAGCGTGACAGTGTTAAGTCATGTGATAAACCTTACTGTGATATTAGTGTTGAAATGGGTTCAGATGATCGCGATTATTACAATCTAGGACCAAATGCTGAAGCCCCTCAAACTCATGATTTAGAGCAGGTCTCGCATGCTCAAAATCTCGGAGATCCAAACTATGATAAGCTTAAAGACAATTACAAAACGAACTTATCAAGAGACAAATCGATACATATATTCAAAGGAGACATTCGTAAAGCCGTATCTGGCGTTATAATTTGTCCCGAAATTCCCGACACAAAATATGGTGGTATAATGGCCGTTGCAATCAAAAGTACTTTTCGAAATGTGGCAAGTATCGAGATCCCACGCAAATTGATAAAATCAAACGGGCAAAGAATTGCAGCAACAGATTGTCGTATAAAAGGAAGGGCAAATGATTCTGAGGACGACGGTGTTAGTTTTATCTATCATATTCAAAGTCCAATTTACAAGAGAACAAGCGATACCGAAACAGTTTCTCGATGCTTAGACCTGATATTCAAAAAAATGAAGAAACATAAAAGAAGAAAATTGAAAAGGATATATATTCCATTACTTGGAATTGGTAAGTAATATTTAAAAACTTTCCACTTCTTTTTTAAACTTTTAATGATTCATAAGTTTTGTGTCTTAATAATTGAGTAAATTAATTTTTGCTACGAATATTATTTAGATTTGCCATACAAAGTCTCATTTTATTGGGGTTTCTTAAAATCACACGAATACTTGTAATTGTTTGATCTAAGTAAGCAAATGCATTAATACATGGTATTTCTAAAGAGTTATAAATAGTGTGTATAGTAGATTGCAGGGTTTATTTGATGCTGCAAACTCGTAATTTTGCAACTTTTAAACCAAACTGGTCGGGATTGAATCATTACATATTCACGTAGATCTATGCAAAATGAAATTTGTCTTGTTTACAAAGCTCCGTACTTTTGATCAATTTTACAGTGTAATGTAATGATCAAAGTCAATTACATTTGCATACTGTAGAACTTTACATTTGTAATAAGATAAGAATGAGCCTTATCATACATGCTTTATTTAAGGAAAAACATTAAAGAAAAAAACCCATTGAAGAACATTATTTAAGATATTTAACAGTTTATGTATTAGGGCAAATGTCATACATTTTGTGATTTGTTCAATTAGATAATGAATATAAAGATCAACAGGGCAGAGCGTTATTTACACAACAAAAGCCCCTGTAGTATCCAGCCACATAGAACCGTCGGAAGGCAAGGTACCCTGTGTGGCTGGATAATGTCTGATGTTGAACAATTTTATGAACAATTTTTTCGATTTGTTAATCTTTATTTTCATAAATCACTGATACAGTCGGTAAGGTGAAGGTCATTTTGATATTTCAGAGGATGTCGGTAATGAGGACAACGTAAAAACTTGCTGCCAAATTTTAGTGAAGGGTATCCACGAAAAATGTGCTAAGTACAGATCTCCGATTGAAGTGATGCTTGTGAATCGATGTAAGCGAATAACTGATATGTTGATAAGTGAAATGACAATTCTAGCTGACCCTTCCGGTTGATTTGGTTGGTCATTTATTTGACTCATGTCAAGAGACAACATGCATTTACAAATTACGTATCATATGTATGTAAAGCTAGAAAAGGACCAGTGAATCATATCGTACCCAGTGCTGTTGACTGGATTCGTTTTCAATTTGGTTATGGATAACAACATTCCACAGAAGTTATGTTATATAAATGTAAACAAAAATTCAAAGGTGCAGAATGATAAATATTATTAATTATAATTAATTGTTCACGTTTGTTAGTATATATAACCCGAACCGAGCAAGGGCTATGTTGCAAATAACTTTTTATGTACGGCTATATAATAACCTATCAAGGGTTTTTATAACGAATTCATAATACCGAAGCTTCTTTTATTAGAGAAAAACAATGAAATTACTTCATAAATCGACTGCAGCCGGGTAAACGAGATCGAAGATTGTATAAACATCAAGATTATCCAATGAAAAGCGACGTTACAAACGTTCATTATGTTTTGTTAATTGCCATATTTTGTCATGAACATCGGTTCTTGAAAAGGACAGATATTCAAAAAATGTCTCAAAATTCATCCAGTGATTTCTTCCATGACTAGCATTTCAGAGAACTTACTATAATGTTAACAAATCTAAGTTCAGTGATGTGTTCAGGACAGTGTACCTTATGTTATTTTTTCTTGTTTGTTGTGAACATTGGTTCAAGTATGAGATATCTTATATTTAGGTACATGTATATGTGAATATAATGATTTGTACCGCTGTGAAACCATTCAGGAGGTTATTCGAAAGGCCACTGAAATGCAATTTTACGTTGCAACGCCACTTACTTGACTGATACAAGTGTTTTGATTTGCCTTGCTTTAGTTTGCTTATGCTTGAGAGGATGGGATAGATAAACGGCAGCTTGCGTTAACCAAAACCGTCAAAGTACAGACTCAATCAAACCAGTCATTTTTTTCATTTGAGCTGGTTGGGCGACCTTCACAGATATATATATATAGTTCTATGATCTGATAAAACATAACGTCTGTATATTATGCATTTATATATAGATCTAGTAAAATAATGTGATAAAACATAACGTTTGTACATAATGCAGTTATATATAGTCCAATGATCTGTTAAAACATAACGTTAGTACATTATGCAGGTTTATTTCATGCTTTCCAGTGTTTTATTGTAATATATCAGATGATTATATTCTGATAAACCACTAGTGAAATTTATAAAATATAATTTTCACTGTAGCCGGACTATATCTAAATGCGGATGAAAAGAAAATCATAACTAAATGGAATAACAGGCAGAAATAAACGCTGTCATGCGTAAATTTTGCTTCTTTATGAAAAGAAAGTCGATGTCACCATACATCATGTTAAAAATGTAACAAAATTAGAGAAATTTAACAGAACTATATTTCAAAATTGATGAAGTGACGTCATGATGTGATGACGTCACAAAGGAGAATGCGCGACGTTACGCGGCAAAATCAGTAAATAATACTTAAAATCACTTAAAAAGCATGAAATAAAAAGAAAATTTATTTGTTTTACATATAAGATTGAAATATATTTCATTCGTGAACACCAGCTATTATATTTTCACTCGTGGCTACGCCACTCGTGAAAATATTGCATCTGGTGTTCACTCAGTGAAATTATATTTCAATCTTACATGCAAAACAAACAAATATCCTCTATATATATAGTTCAATGATCTGATAAAACATAACGTTAGTACATTATGCAGTTATATATAGTTCAATTATCAGATAAAACATAACGTTAGTACATTATGCATTTAAATTTATTACCCTTTCAGATTTTTTCCGCCTTTTTGATTGGATATTGATCACCCGAAAGAAATTGATATAACCGAGCCAGACGGGTAATATACACACTAAATTTCCCCGTTTGGTACCCAACGTTGTAAACAACATGCGCGGAGATGATGCGCGTACGGTTCGATTTTACGCGGTGTAAATTCCGATTTAAAAGCACTTTTTAACTGTCAAATGATAAATATTTACCAAAGTAGAGTTATGATACATATAACCATCAGTATCGAAAACAAATATGACCTTGTGAAAGCTTGATATTAATTACAAAAAAGTGCGTTCAATAGACTACTCCTTTTCTCTTGTTTACTTTTGTAAGGTACGGGAAAAAACGTCATGTATTTATGTGACGTCATGTTGTGACGAAGAGGTATCCTAAAGGGAATCTTATTTCGACGTTTCATTTGAAACAGCAATGATTATTTAAAAATCGTCTAAACTCGGCAGGGGAAGGGTAATAAAATTATTATTTTGGTTTTGGAGTGATATATGTGGATATATTACCTGCCAAGATAAAATATCACCCTCGCCTAACGGCTCGGGTGATATAAAATCTTAACAGGTAATATACATTTTATAATAATGTATTTTAATTCTATATATAGGTGACAAAAACTTGACGGATGGCATACCCCATATGAGCCCCTTTTTTGAGGTATTTTGTTGTCCTTTTTTATAATGTGGTAATAAATTCTCCTTTTTGATTGGCTTAAGGCAGACAGTGTACGGGTAGAAATGATCAAATTAATTGTATATGGCAACGTCCAGAAACGGCGGCAATATAGTGCAACCATAGGAACTCGGGTACAGGACCTCATCTTGCGGCGCATAAATCCGAACCTGTACCGGCTTTACATATTGTTTGTCCAACATTTGAATAAACCTTTCATATTATCTGAGCGGGGTTTCTTTAAAAACATATTGTCAATTTAATATAATCTGCTAGTTTAAAATTGGGTTAAATTACAGTATATATAAAAAAGACAGATTTTGCCAAATTCTTAAGTAGCAGATCGTGTTCAATTATATAACATTCTTAGAGACTCTACACTTGGATAATACGAAACGGTATTATGATAGGAAACTCATTTTTGATAGGAAGTATATGAGCCGCAATATGGGGTCCCGTTCCCGAGTTCCTACGAGTGCAGTTTGTGATGTCAAACACATGGACAGAGAAGTAATCAGATTCTGAACACCATCCGACTTTTCAGAACTTAAAATTTATCACCAAAAATGGGAAAGAAATCTTAACTACGAAAATAAATTCAAATTTTCAATCAATATAAGATTTTGTAGCTTAATGTACATATATTTCTAGAATTGTATTATGATTTTCGCTCAATTATAAATACTTTCTCCATATGGGCCATTTAGCTGAAATGATGTTTTTCTTCAATGAAATGCAAATGAAGCGATATATATCGTTCACGCGCACAGAGTGTTCCGAATTAGCCACCATAAAGTATGAAATACCTGAGCGATAAAACTATTATTATTCCTTGTACTGATTTTACTATACCATTGAAACACATTTGTAAAAGGATATGGATAAGTGCACATAGTGAATGCCATTATATGGGGTTATATTTCAATTCTTTTCGTCATTCACTTTAAAAATAGCTTGCTTTTGAAAAAAAACAGTGTTCGTTATCTTACAAGATAATATTTCACATAAACCTGTACGACATACGTGTAGTTTATACAGTAGAAATACGAAACCGAAATGTAAATAAATGATAAAATTATGGTATTTGATTGCTTTATGCTTAAACTCATCTATCGGCATTTTTAAACACGTTCCCAATAGTTTCTTCATTTAAAAAAAACTGGCAAAGGAAAGTTTAAACTCATGAACAGAATTTTGTATGATTGAAGAGATTCTGAATCACAAATGAAACAACATTTTGAAAGAAAAAAAATGCAATCTTTGGATCACGGCTTTAAATGGAACTGATTAGGCACGTGATTAGCTGTAAATTTGCCACCATCCTTCTAAGGTTATTTGAGCAGACTATACCATTCAGTGCATGCTAGTGCAATATCAGTTTAACTCTTTTCAAATTTAAAGCAGCACGCCTCCAGATTCATGCTAATTATCATGAAAATTTTGAAAATGTAATAAAAAGTAAAATATTGTAAAATGAACAAAGAAAATAAAGTTCACATTGCAAAAAGCTTTACAACCCATGTAAATTACCAAAAAGAGGTCAAAATATGCATAAATAGCCCTTACTGCGTTAGTAACGCAGTAGAAATATGATAAAAATACAGCAAAATCGGTCATAAATCGCACATAACATGGAAATGATTACTTTTATTTTGAACCTTTTTACTTTTCTTAAAATTTCAGTACCTTATTCTCAAGTTTGATTTTCTTGAAATATTTTGGTTCACCTGGAGCCATGCAGCTTTAATAGGATTTAACCCGATACCGCGCTAAGCTAACGATACATGCTTCGATGAGTTATCACTCGATCTTAGTGAAGTTGGCAGCCTAACAGCATACCGCATAATGATACCGCCTAGACCACCAGGCCAGTTGACATATTTTTCTGACTGAATCATGTACCAAATGAAGTATGTAAACAGACGTAGCAAACGTGTCCTTCTTCTTCAATGATATAAAACTTTTGACAAGCTTTCATTGTAAAGCTTATAAATCACTCTATCAAATTTAAGATGTGTGTAAATTTAAACATTAAGTCAATTGCATAGCATTTATAATAATGTATACCTTATGAACATTCGAAATTTTAACCCTGGATTTTATATATTCGTTATCTCTCTTTCTCTTTAATCTGATTTCCTTACATGTATATTTTTTCATATATACTTTATATACATGCGTGGATCCACATGGAATTTAAAGGGTGTTAGGGATGGGGAATGACCCCACTTGAGATTTTAATGTAATCTACGGTTTTCTTTAGGGTTTTATTTTGGTGAAAATCATCAAACAAATTGACTTATGACCTCCTCTGAAAAAACTTTAGTAAATTACCAACCTGTCCCCCAGCCCCCCATACCAAAAAGTGCATTTCTCCATGTCGTAATTATTCACCCCCAACACCCCACCTCGTTTAAAAATCACGGTTGTTCACAAATAGAATGTTAATAGAAAATCATGTCAATTCATATAAACACTTGTCATGTTTGAACATACATGTATTTATGCTGGATATATATGCAGTATTATTCAATGTCTTAATAAAGCTATGCTACATGAATGAATTGTAAATATTTTATGTTGAAATTTGTTAAATAAAATGTTACTAGTAATTTAAATTATCTATCACTTCAAAACTGTTTGGTTGATTGATTGATTGATTGTTTGACAGATTCATTCTTCTTTCCCTCACTCACCCATTCACTCACAGATTCATTCATCTGTTCGTTCGTTCGTTCATTCATTCATTCATTCATTCATTCATTCATTCAGACTCTAGCACAAGGTCATAAGGTCGACGGCATAACCTATTTGCCCTTTTCTTGTTAGTATTAGTTTCTCCAAGCTGATTTAACATTAGCGATGATGATCATCATCAGGATTTGATTTCTTCTGAAAAAATTTATGTGTCCGTTTTGCACAAAATTGGCGGCCATATTGGACGCCATCTTGGATTCTGAGCCGTTGTGAATGCATTTTTTTGTAAGATCAGAATTTGATGTTTGTTAAAAAGAGACTGATGTGAGTTTCAGATAAGCTGCAGATATAGACCCCTAACCAAATAAAAAATGAATAAAATAAGATGAATAAATAAAATGATAAAATTGCTCTCAGCTTTAATGCTACATCCTTTCAAAAGATCAAGAGTTAAAGCACAGACTTTCCAAAACTTGTGGAACAATTTAGTGCCACCAATTGTGTCAAAGAAATGCTGCGACTGTGCAACCTTGTTCTGTTTTAATTACACCTGTCCATTGATACAGTAATGATTAAAGGCCTCATCTACTTGTTGCTGTTCATGTTGTTGATGTCAGTTGATGTGCAAGGGACACTTGAACATGAGTTATCAATGTGTTTCTTATTTTCTCGCACCTGTTGACTAAACAAACTTCCTTCAGATTTGGTATCTCCTTTTTTCTTTTTAGAATGTCTACGACCTGTTCGATTTGCCACTTACAACATTTACTGATGACATCGTCATTTTCAACACGGCCTGAAATTATTAAATAAAGTAAGAAGTTATGAATGAGAAACAATAGAGTTTGAGAACCATGTCAGCTTTTGTATGATTTAACATTACAAAATTGGTTTGATACCTAATTTAACCTTCAACTTCTGAATTTCTAAATTCCGTCTTTAAACTGTCCATCGTCAATTTTGGGGAAATCAAGATGAATTTCAAAGCCAGCCTGTTCAAACTGCACGGGGCCAAAAGTTATCATTGATTTATTAGCAGAAACGTAGACCAAACAAGTATAGTATCACATTATACCAGAAAATGTGGACTTTGTGGAATCTCCGTATTTTGTGCTTTGACTAAATATGTCCCAGTATAAAAGAAAGATATTGCTTATGTCTTCTGCAACATTTTCGACTTTGACGTGTTGTGCGACCTTGAAAAAGGTTTCCATTTTTATTATTCTTGAGAAGATAATGATTGGTTTTAAGTTTATTATTCTTCTACTAATTACTAAAAGTATTTTGTAAGTTCTTACCAATGCCAAACAATGGTATAGCAATACTTGAAATGTGCCGCTTTTTATGCCGTACCAGTTTGTCAAACATCATCACTACCGCCCCTTTCAATGCTTTCTCCAGTTGTTTTTCATCTATGCCTTCTTTCCATATGGGAAGCATTATATGAAGGATATATTGCATGCCACCATCTTCTGTCGTGTATTCTGTTGTCGCTATTGCATTCTTCTGAATTTTACCCAACTTCCTGTCGTTAAACGAGTGCCTAAATCTACATTTGATAGAGGCGGCAAGTAAACCACCTCGCTCCATCCCTTCGTTTTCGGGGCACACAATTGCTACCATCTTTGTGTTTCTTATATCACTTTTCTCAATGATTAAAGTGTAATTTCCAATGTTTTTGCGGAATTCTGGCATTCCTTCATAAACTTTTGATTCGATTTCTTCAGGGTGAATACATTGAATATTTTCATAGTCATGATTTTCAACAGGGCTGGCGGGGCCTACATCCACAGCAGTGCATTCAGAATAATCAGGTCTTTTTCCATCCACTAAATCATTTAAGTCCTCTTGTTCATGATCAATATCTACATTCTCATCTGTGCTTTCTGGTACATCGGAGACAATTTTATGACCCTCTCTTGGGATTTCTAACAAATCCAAACTGCTCGTTGGGATGATCTGTTCGAAGACTTTGTTTGCTATGTCTACTTTGTCTTTATCTATGTCGATGAAGTAAATGGTTTCTACTACAAATTGATTCTCCCTTAAACGACTGAATTCTAGAATTGCGTAAGCATATTGTTCACTGCAAATCTTAATGTCAAGCTGCCCATGTCCTTAAATCAAAAATATATTTAAGATAAAAATATAAAAATAGTAAAGCTAAGCCTTCTATTTGTATTAAAGACCTTTACTAATGTTACAATGTATATAATTATAAACTGGTAGCAGATTGAAAATTGCGTGACATAATTAATTTATGTTGCTTATTTCAAGGGCAGAATAATAAGGTTAGCAAGGTCTTATAATTACATTTCTTGTGCTTTTTGTGTAGCTTTCTTCTTTCCTGTGATTGCGCTAGATTAATCAATTGTCAAAAGGGTTTTTTCTTTATATTTTCCTAAACCTATATAAAAAGGGGGCGGGGCACATTTCTTAAGAATTTTCAGTCTGAATAAAAGGAACTCAAAAGTGTCTAGAATTACAAGAAGTTTTATATTTTTGACCAAAGATAAAATGGAAAAGGAAAACAAAACTAATAGTAAAAATAAAGTTGTGTCAGACTTGTGTATAAGTTATATATGTCCTTTAAATGGTTTGAATAATAAAAAGGGCAAGTTACTCGAAAACGAGGTCAAAGACTCCCAATTTATTTGGCTTAAAATATTTTTGTTATCATATTCTAAGAAAATTCAAAATTTTAATAAATCAATAAAATGTAAAATGAAATATATTTTTTTTCAACTTGCTATGTGTCTTTTTGTAACCTTAGCGTGCGCCCTTTAATAATTCTTTTTTAGATATGCACACATTTTTAAAAGAAATTAAAGCTATCTGCAAGCATGTATTTGTTACTGTGAATGTTAGATACTTATCACTTGAAAAAGTTATGCTTTATGTGAAATCATTTCTCATTAAGGTAGCAAAATATTCACAAAGTGGTACTTTGACTTCTATAGAAAATATTAAATCACAACTTAAATGCCGGACTGCAAAAGATGGTCCAACTATGTGTTATGGGAGGGATGGGTGGCTGGTTCCACCAACACAGTAGATGTCATATGGCGACTTTAAAGCTTGACTGGTTGAAGAGGACCACTTGTGTCCCTCCGTGCATTATTTCAGGCAGAGACGGGCGCCTGAGTAGAACCACCGACATTTCTAGGCTAGCTGGTTAAACGGACCTTTAAGACATTGTAAAATATGTACAAATATATGAATAGTTTAATTCTGAAACATATTTTGTGTATCATATACATGTACCTGAATTAATGATTATTATTTAATTCTTAAATGATGAAAGTTTACAGTTTTTTTAGATTAAATCGGCATGAAAAATGCCTTTGGCCATAATGATAATGATAAAAATTGAGGTTTTAAAAGCGGATAACCTATACTCCGGACAAAGGGTTTGTTTTCGCAAGTCGTACGGTACATCAAATATATAGAACTAAAAAAGCCATGTACCTGTTGAAAGAAAGGGAAATGCTATAGAATGTATGCCAAGTTCCTCCGCCATTTTCAAGCAATTAAATACAGTTGAAAAAACATCATTCTCGAGCGCTTTATTCGACAGTTTAAACACATAATCCGTTTGATTAGGACATATGGCATGAATGATATTCTGAGTGTTCATGTTTCCAGCTTTGGTTGATAAACACTCTGTCGTCTTAAGTGTTAACGCCTTATGTTTTACAGCATCACACATATCTACATACGGCAGTCCCCCTTTGTCTTTGATTGTCTTAGATACCATACTGAGCGCTTCTAACTTGTTATTTGTTGTATTAACGAAACAGTCGATTTCACCATCAAACTCTACAAAGTTGGCTTCAACTACAATAACATTTATTTTCTCGTAAGTGACATATTCAGTGCGAACAAATGATTTAGTAACAGGGGCATCGTCATCTTCGTCTCTTGATCTTTCTCCTCTCCTTATAACTCTTTTTAAACCAAGTTTTACTTCAAAATGGTACTTGCATTTCATTACGTCGTCGTAGATGTTTCCAGTAAAAATGATTTCAGAATCTGTTATATCTATACATACGCCTGGGAACTTCACCTTAGCTTCTTCCAGTTCATTGATGGCTTTCATTCTCTGCTCTTCTCCTATAGCAAGACTTGCCGAGTCCGGCATTGTGATTGTTTTATAGTGTTGCTTTTTCTTTCTTTCTTTTTTTTATGGATTAATTACTAGACTATCTGATACATAATGCAGATTTTTTTACTATTTTCTAGTATCCTATTCTTGGTAAAACCACTTTCTATTGTTTACCTCGCTGTAAAAAATGTATATAACTTTTAAATATATATCCATATTCACTAACTTTTCTATACGTGCTACTAGTCAAATGGTCGATTAATTCCGTTAATATATGTGATTACGAAGACAAAAGTTTTCTCCCACACTTGCACGTAAAATATCAATTTAATACGTTATGTAGAATATGTTGTGTAATTTGAAGTTTAAAACTATTATTAAACTTTAAATTTCTTTTTTCAGAACATATTTAAACGATCATATTTCTTACCTATATATACCGATTACTCCCATATTACTGGTATATCAATTCTATGAATCGTTAGTATAAGTAATATCATTTAAACTTATAAATATCGAGGTATTTACATAGTGAGATATCACTGATAATTTGCACGTTGGATCCAACTCTTAAAATGATAGCAGGCCAATAGATAACACTATAAATACTGATAAATCACAGTGAATTACAGATTTAACGAACCTAACTTTGATATCTACATGTATATTTATTTAAAATTGTTATAAAAGAAATAAATTACAATACTTTTTTCACTTTGGTATCTTGAACTAAAGGCAGTTTTCCTACTCATTTGAGACGCGATCATGGTCTTGAAATTATTTTAAATTAGCTTAAAGCTGCATGCATCCAGATCAGCCAATATATATTACAAGAAAATTAAACTTGTAGTTGTGACAAATGAAAGTAAAAAGGTTCAAGAAATAATTTACATCTTATGTGCGATCAGTGACTGATTTTGCAGTTTCTATTACCATATTTCTACTACGTGACTAACGCAGATTGGGCTATCTTTGCATATTTTGATTTACGTGAATTGTACGGGCTGTTTGCATGGTGTAAATTACCTTCAAACACTTTTAAATACATTTGCACTATTTTCATGAAATTTAGCATGAACGTGGAGGCATGCTTCTTTTAGGTCTTTTTTTATATAAATGTGACAGTATAATTATACATTGCCACATAGAAAACAACATATACAGTTTTTGAAGCCAGAACTTATTTCAACAAGATATGTTTGTAAAACCTGTATGCCCCCTATCGGCAGCCAATTAGTCATGTGATCAGGTTATTATGCATGACTTCTGATCCAGTGAACAAACAATTAATAAGGGTTATCTAGTATCTACTGGTCATGACTAGTCACAAGGTAATAATTATTGTGACCCCATAGGTTGTGTGCAGCAATTTAAGTTATTACAAATCTTACCAAATAATATATGCATAAATTTTATGAATCATGTAGGACCATTAATGACAGCCAAGTTGTTATATTACATAAGACCTTCAAATGTGTATACCAAAAGCATTTTAGTTTAATATTAAAATATCAACCAAGGCAACTTGAGTTGTTGAGTTATTGGTCAGAAACCGTCATTAAGTACAAGGTCAATATGACATTGACTCCTTGACCCCAAAATCAATAGGGGTCATCTACTGGTCATGACCAATCATCATACAAAGTTTGAAGTTCCTAGGCCTAAGCGTTCTTTAGTTATTGATTGGAAACCGTTTTTACCTACAAGGTCAATGTGACCTTGACCTTGGACCCCTTGACCCAAAATCAATAGGGGTCATCTGGTGGCAATGACCAATCATCATACAAAGTTTGAAGTTTCTAGGCCTAAGCGTTCTTTAGTTATTGATCAGGGGTCATCTGCTGGTCCACGACCAATCATCATACAAAGTTTGAAGTTCCTATGCCTAAGCATTTTTAGTTAATTGATCTGAAACCGTTTTTTACCTACAAGGTCAATGTGACCTTGACCTTTGACCCCAAAATCAATAGGGGCCATCTCCTGGTCATGACCAATCACCATACCAAGTTTGAAGTTCCTATGCCTAAGGGTTCTTAAGTTATTGATCGGAAACCGTTTTTACCTAAGAGGTCAATGTGACCTTGACCTTTGATCCACCTTGACCCCAAAATCAATAGGGGTCATCTACTGATCATGACCAATCCCCAAATCAAGTTTGAAGTCCCTAGGCCTAAGGATTCTTTAGTTATTGACCGGAAACCGTTTTTACCTACAAGGTCAATGTGACCTTGACCTTTGACCCCTTAACCCCAAAATCAATAGGGGTCATCTGCTGGTCATAACCAATCACCATACCAAGTTTGAAGTTCCTAGGCCTAAGGGTTCTTAAGTTATTGATCGGAAACCGTTTTTACCTTAGAGGTCAATGTGACCTTGACCTTTGACCCCAAAATCAATAGGGGTCATCTACTGATCATGACCAATCACCATACCAAGTTTGAAGTTCCTAGGCCTAAGCGTTCTTTAGTTATTGATTGGAAACCTTTTTGCTTACAAGGTCAATGTTACCTTGACCTTTGACCCTTGACTCCAAAATCAATAGGGGTCATCTACTAGTCATGGCCAATCACCATACCAAGTTTGAAGTTCCTAGGCCTAAGGGTTCTTTAGTTATCACTCGGAAACCATTTGGTCTACGGACCGACGGACTGACAAGTGCAAAGCAATATAGCCCCTCTTCTTTGAAGTGGGGGCATAATAATGATATAATAGTGTCAGCTGATATTTCATGGCTTTTGTCTTAGCACAGTAAGTATCTTAAATTGACTTTTTCATCATTCAGTCTGAACAAAAATGTTTTTCAGGGAAAACAAGGCAATATTTAGTAAATACTGACTCAATAAAAAAAAAAAACAACACTTGCTTCAAGATTTAAAACAAGAGGGCCATGATGGCCCTGAGGTCGCTCACCTGTATATAGGCCCCCCCCCACCCCCGGGCCAATTTTTACCCAAGGGCTTTTATTTGTTTATTTGAACAGACTTGGTAGACACCCATAAGAAGATGTTTCATGCTAAACATCTAAGTTCTAGCTCATTGGGTTTTAAAGTTTTTACTATACACATATAGTTAAAAACAATGACACCCCTGGGGCAGGGCCAGTTTTGACCCCGGGGCTTTTATTTGAACAAACTTTGTAGATATTTACTTAAAGACGTTTCATGCTTAATATCTAAACTCTAGCTATTTGGGTTTTTTCAAAGAAGATTTTCAAGTTTTTGCTATACACATATAAGGAAAATCAATGACCTCCCCCCCCCCCCCGGCGGGGCCAGTTTTGACCCCAGGGCTTTTATTTGAACATACTTGGTAGACACCCATTAGAACATGTTTCATGCTAAATATCTTAGCTCTAGCTCTTTGGGTTCTTTAAAAGAAGATTTTTTAAGTTTTTACTATATGCATATAGGGAAAATCAATGACCCCCTGGGGCGGGGCCAATTTTGACCCAAGGGCTTTTATTTGAACAAACTTGGTAGACATTCACTAGAAGATGTTTCATGCCAAATATCTTAGCTCTAGCTCTTATGGTTCTTTAAAAGAAGATTTTTTAAGTTTTTACTATATGCATATAGGGAAATCAATGACCCCCCGGGGTGGGGCCAATTTTGACCACAGGGCTTTAATTTGAACAAACTTGGTAGACACTCACTAGAAGATGTTTCATGCTTAATATCTTAGCTCTAGCTCTTTTGGTTCTTTAAAAGAAGATTTTTTTAAGTTTTTACTATATGCATATAGGGAAAATCAATGACCCCCTGGGGCGGGGCCAATTTTGACCCCAGGGCTTTTATTTGAACAAACTTGGTAGACATTCACTAGAAGATATGCAGGACTATTAATATCTGCAACACCGGTTTTAATGATGCCTCAACACATCGACCTGTACATAACTTAAGTAAACCAAAAACTCACTCATGTAGCATTGATTTCAGAGAACTTGTAACAAAACTTACTTTACATTTAAAACCACAACTGAGAACAAATCTTCCGCTAGTTAATTAACAAGAGCGATCAGTAATCACATGTGTCCCCTCATGATGGCCAATTTCATGTACGGACAAATTTTGTGACAGACGGACAGACAGTGCACAACTAGACTTGGTACTGATCATTCCTGTAAAGTTTGGATAAAATTGCACCAGTAGTTTATGAGGAGTAGTCTGGACAAGCTTTTGCGTATCTGGCAACACACAGAAAAAAACACCTTTTTATCAAAGGGCCATAACTCGGCCAAAAATCATTCAACCAGAAAACCCGTGCAATATGCGCAAGGACTTGAGCTACAGATCAATCCTGTAAAGTTACATTGAAATTGCATTAGTGGTATAAGAGAAGTAGTCCGGACAAACTTTAAAAATAAAAATTATTTAAGGGCCATAACTCTGACAAAAATCATTGAACCAGAAAATGCTGACAATATGCACAACAATACTTGGTACTGATCATTCCTGTAAAGTTTGGATAAAATTGCACCAGTAGTTTATGAGGAGTAGTCTGGACAAGCTTTTGTGTATCTGGCAACACACAGAAAAAAAACACCTTTTTATCAAAGGGCAATAACTCGGCCACAAATCATTCAACCGGAAAACCCGTGCAATATGCCCAAGGACTTGAGCTACAGATCAATCCTGTAAAGTTTCATTGAAATTGCATTAGTGGTATAAGAGAAGTAGTCCGGACAAACTTTAAAATTAAAAATTATTAAAGGGCCATAACTCTGACAAAAATCATTGAACCGGAAAAGGCTGACAATATGCACAACTAGACTTGGTACTGATCATTCCTGTAAAGTTTGGATGAAATTGCACCTGTAGTTTATGAGGAGTAGTCCGGACAAGTTTTGTGACGGACGGACAGACAGACAGACGACGGAGAAGTGATCCCTATATGACGCCACTACTCCGTAGAGGCGTCACAAAAATGAAACAACAAATAAAAAACAAAAACAAAAAACAGTGCTGCGTTTAGTGCAGATCTATATAAAGGCAAGTTTAAAGATAAATTGGCGTTTTTATTTTCAATTCCGAGTGGGTTTTGCAAATTTAAGCAAAACACACGCGTAATTATGCTAGACTGCTTGATTGTGTAGTAAATAGCCGGACTAAAGACCTAACCTATATTCACTAGGATTTATGAGCTATCACATTTTTAACAGATTAAAAACAATCTAGCCAGTGTGCCGATGTTTCAGTACCTGTACTGTTAATTCAACAACAAGCTCATCATTTGTCAAAAATCTTTCTATTTGAAAGACCCTGGAATGAGTTAACATTTCTTAAGGACTAAAATATGAAGAGTAATATATACATGTACATAAATGTTCATGATATTTTATTACAAATGGTAATACGAAACATTAAACAATATAAATGAAAACAACGAAATATAAGACACATACAATATCCCAGCAAAACACAAAACATAACATCATGGCCATCCAGCAACTGCTAAGTAAATTGCTCATTATTGCTGAGGTCATAAACTCAGGAAATATTCATTAACTCTCTCCTAAATATCTTTAAAGGTCTTGTCCATCTTTCAATTAGGATTGATCCATTCATCATTATTGGGAAATTTTCAAAATAGCACTGACTGAATAACAGAGCAGTGTAGACCATGATCAGATGGCACAATGATCTGGCATATTTTGATCTGCACTGGTTGCAAGGGTAGAATCTGTTTGCCTCCAGCAAACTACAAGTTAAGTGTCATGACTTTTTTGTACTGGTCATTAAATTCATAAAGTAGCACTACTACAGTACTTTTAGTTCTAAGGATATAAGTACTGAAGTGCCAGAGAAGAGATTACCTATAATCTAAATTCACAAAAGAAACAATGTACCATAATATAGAAAAGTAGATCACACATCTTAATATTGTCCTAACTACCTGCTCTGCTAATGTCACTTGAAGCAGACAAAAAAATGGATAGATAGAATGTTAACTGAATTAATGATCCTTGGGTCTTTTTCTTTAGTTATTTCCTTTTGCTGAACAGTGGCATCCCTTATTCTATTGTCATGTAAATCTATTATGTGTTTACAGAAATATGGGCCATAAACCTAATCTTGTTACTTGTACCAGACAGATAGATGGTTCATTAATGCACAGTCTAATTCCCGCAGAAGTGACTGGGGTGGTGTTAAAAACAGAACAACTATGTGTCCGAGTATACAATATATTGTGGTTGAACTTTAGCAACTTTTCTGTACTCCTCTGTAAGTGTTTTAGGGCACCTCATCTTATTCCAGCTGACCGGTACAAGACTCGCTCCTGAAAAAGTAACACATGCTATAAACATAACATCGTACTATCAACAAAAACCTTTTATTATTAAAAGGGAGATAATTCAGTATTCAGTATTTTAAGTTCACAAAATGCCTTTGCACTTTGTGTTAGGCTGTATCTCCATCTATTTTAGAGAAATCAAAAACCACTTCATTCACCTTGTAGTGCAGACAATCATGTCCCATCCTCCCTCCTATCTCCAACACTACATAAGAAGTGGCAGGGTTGTAGATTCTGGCAATGATTTATTATTAGGTTACTGTTGCATAATGTCTAGTGTTAAAGACGCTTATATTTGGTACTTAATTCTCTCTATTGTAAGATAATCAATTTGCTCACGTTTATTTGGCAAAGCCATGCAACAAAAACGTCTAGCTTATATACTGCATTATAAATTGTTTTGCTCAAAAAATGAAACTATTTATAATGCAGTATATGTCATTTTAACACATTTTTTTATCATATCTCTGCCAATTAGTTCAACGTAACCAGCTGTCCTGGAAAATCAACCAATTATTACTAACTTTCGTACAAGTTACCAACCACTAATTCCATATGATTTCAAAATTAGAGGTGAAAAACAAAAGACCATCAAACTCAAAGTAAAAATTTATTATCATAGTGCCTCGCCTGCCCTGGATTGAAAATCTGATGCTCTCGCTGCTGACCTAAGTGAGCGGACAAAGTATGACTTAATCATGTATATGCCAGCATACTTCTATATATTTACCTAACAAAGCACTACTTAGAACAGAGTACACTAGTTCCTGAAAAAGTTTCCGATCAGCTAACAGATTTTTCTACAATAACTGACAGTGAAATTATAAAAAAAAATTTATCTTATAATTCTGCAAATATTATCATTTCAGCTAATAAATGCAACAACTTTTTAAATTTTTACCTAAATTATTATTATGAATCGAGAACAAATCATTACTGACCCATGTTCCTGTTCTTCAAAATTTCACAACCACTTTTCAATCAGTTAACAAAATATATACTGTATCACATAAAAAATATCATACAATGTTAAAATATCACCAGTTATGTATTTTGAATTTTGATATCTATTTGTAGTAGTAAAGCTGTCACAATTGGGGTATGGATGTACATCTCAATTTGCATTACAGAAAAAGCATGTTCTTGTGAAATTTTTAGGATCTTAGGGTCTATATGACCCCATTTCTTACTGAAAAGTTATCAAAGAGAATGTTTTTCCTTGGTTAAGTGACTGTTACTTTACTGATGTATTACCTTCCAATTAAGAATTGTATGGTAAAATATGTACATATTAAAATTATAGCTTTTTAAGTGCACTATACATTATGACTTAATGATATTGAAACAGTTGTCCAACTAAGTATTTTTTCTGCAGACTGACAAAAAACTGAGTTTGTAAATCAATTATTTTTAGAAAATAATTGCGATTTGTAACTGGGTAAATAAAGGATTTGCGGAAAACACACATTTTACATATTTTGAACTAAAATACTGGTATTTTATTTTTTATCGCCATAAATGACATTGCTGCTGATAAATGTTGTCAAGATAAATACAAGATGTGCTTACAGTTTGGTTACATGGTAAATAAGGTCAAAAATAAAGAAATTCTAGGGATGATTGAAAAGTGGTTGTGACTGAAAACTGGCAGTATGTGGATAATACATGTATTTAATATAACAATGTATTATCACTATTAAAAGGGAAATAATTCAGTAATTTTAGCTCACTAATGGCCTTGCACTCTAAAAACACTGAAGAGTACACTCCTTTACTTCTTACACCAAATCATCATTTATATCAATGAAACGTAAAGCAATGAAAATGTTATAAAAATAGCATTCCAATCTATGTTAAATGAAATATGGTCATAATTTGAACCTCTACATGCACTTATCATGATGCTCATACAATTAATCCACTTAATACGTTTAATGTTTCCAATTGTAACAAGTGGATAGATGAACTTCAGCACTCAAGAATGATGTGTGTGTATAATAATCATTGTCATTAATAAAGAGTACATATAATACATGAATTTTTCATGACCTTAGAGCAATAACTGGTTAACTCCTATTAAATGTAAAAGGACTAAACTCATTACTGCACTAAGGTGACCAGTTATTGTATAATATCATGAATTTCATGGAACACTTCAGCTCTTTACTTTATATAATAAATTATGAAAAAAAATAAAAAAAGAAATTACCTAATTATGTAATATACAAGTCTATATGATTTTCCAGGAATATATATTTATTTTCTTAATAATTTTTTTATTCCAATGTGAAGACATGACATAGAAAAATATGTTTATCTCATAAATACAGTAAACTCACAGCATTAAATATTATTAACTAATATGACATAATGTATATATACATTATGTCAAAAATGTTAAAATTCATATATTAAAATCTTAACAAAGGCTATCCTTTCATACAGTATTACTATGTACAACTAAAATTTAAGCAATGAGATTGAATATTATGATTAGTTAGATATCAGAAATAGTTCTTTAAAAAAATTGTTTAATTTTGCAACTCAGATTTTAGTGCAATACCAGCAAGCATTATAAAATATCTTTTAAAATTTCAGACTAAAACAAATTTTAATACATAAATATCAAAGAATGTTTAATTTGAGCCGCGTCACAACAAAACCAACATAATGGGTTTGCAACCAGCATGGATCCAGACAAGCCTGCGCATCCGCGCAGTCTGATCAGGATCCATGCTGTTCACGAACCATGCTGTTCGCTTACCAACTCTATAACAAGTAGAGAAACTGAACAGTATGGATCCTGATCAGAATGCGCGGATGCGCAGGCTGGTCTGGATCTATGCTGGTTACAAACCCATTATGTTGATTTTGTTATGACGCGGCTCATTTTCTTTTAATACATTGTCTGCTAGCTGCAACTGAAGCTACCTGTGTGCGACAAGACTAAGAAATGCCGCCATTTCTATACCATCTCATGACCTGATCATGGTCTGCCATGTGTGCTATTAAATCATTTCAAATTAAAAAATTTCCCTAAAAATGATAGTTTTGTCTTGACTGAAAAAATGGACCAAGTCCAGTTAGGAAAAGTTATGTATGAAATATCTTTTATCCAAAAGGTTGACTGACAGAATGTTTTTTTTCTCTCGATAATATTTGGTTATATTCGGAAATGAAAATAATTCCTTATTTTCCAATTTGAAGCTATATTTAAACACTGTTAACAAATCTTTGTATGAAACGAAAAATTCTAGGCACCATGTGCATGTTGCATGTAAATTTCCAATTTTAATCAAATGGGAATGGGCCTTATTCTTAAAATACTGAAATACAATTGTGCACTGAAAAGTATAGAATTAATTATAAAATAAAATCACCTGCTTCACTGGTTGCTATGACAACACCCAATTCATTTTCTGCCGTAGTAAGAAGGTAAGACTGTGAATCACCAAGGGAGATCACTCTAGCAATCACAATATCACCAGGCCTGAAACATTTATACATCTCAACCTGTAATGATAAAATTAACTAAAAAGATTTTTTTTTGTTTATTGTGAGCTATCATTAATGATAGAGAATTAGTTATACCACAATAATGATTTTGTAAATATGGCCACCTTTAAACCTTGAATAAACCTTTAATATCCTGAATTTGTAATGTATTTGCCATACTGTGACTCTGGAATAGTCCTCCTCATATTTTGAAGTTTTCTAAATCAAAATTGCCAAAAGAAAATGCTACCAATAGTAAAGAGCTTTGTAAGACTGCACTGTGGCCTGACTATATTAAAGATGGCATATGCTCATCACTGTAAAAATTTAAAGCAAAACAAACTCAAGCTACACTGTGGGTTACTTTTAGTCACTTGATATAGAAATGTTTTAAATTAACAATGTAAAGTTTAATAAATCAAAGTATGACAAACCTAGGCAATGACAAATATCATCAATATTTTGAAACAAAATGCATTTTGTGTGAATTTTGTGAAAAAGGTACCTGAAAACATATTAACAGATTGAGCCCTACAGAAGGTACACACATTTTACCTGAAACCCCATAAAATTGTTGAGCCCCACATAGTTTCAGTGTAACCCAACCAAAGGTTTGAGCCCCACAGAAGGGTACGCACAGTTTACAAGATACCTGACTACAGGTTTGAGCACTACAGAAGGTAAGACAAAAGGTACAAACACAATATATTTGACAGTCTTCACCAAAAGATATTAGAAAGTAAAAAGTGTGTAATTTGCTGTGTATGATGTTCATTTTACAGTGGTCTTAAGCTGAAGTTTGACTGTATATCTATAAAGATAAATAAAAGATCATCAAACCTTATCTTTTTCAGTGGCCCTGACATCTTCCTTCCTGAAAAAAAACAAAACATTTTTTTTTACTTCAATAATTATGCTTAAAGAGGCCATAAAAAGTTCAAAGGCTGCCAGTTAAATGGCATTCAGAAAATTACTGAAAAACAGTTTTCAATATTTGATACATATTTGACCTTACACTTTGACCTGAAGATGTGATAAACAGTATAAGTTGATTAATAATTTTATTTTCAAAAAAAAATAAAAATACCTGATTGATAATTGAAATATTCATTCTAAAAATCTTTGCATTTTCACGATACTTGTACTGTTTGTCAGAGATGTTTGAATTTCAAATATTATAAAGATATTCACTTGAACTGAAATAACACCCTCGGCTTCTTTACTTTTTTAAAGTAATTTTCAGCGCTATATATTATTATACTTCAAGAGCCATTCATTTTGATTTTTTATCAGGGGAGAGAACTGGAGCATTATGTTTTCTTAAGTCTATCTAGAATACTCACCCCTGGGTAAAATTGTAAAAAATTACTGAACGAGTGATTAATAATATCTGTCATATTTTGCGGTTCGGATCGGAATATCCGTCCCGAGGTGACCCGCCCATGGGCGGGTGACCGAGGGACGGATTTTCCGATCCAAACCGCAAACATATGTCTGATATTTTTTCTTGCATATTCTACCATATTCCATTATATTTTATCTTTATTTTCAATGAAAATTTAGATCAATTCAACCGTAACTACTTTCATTCAACAGCGTATGAATCACAAAATCATTCATAATGGTAAAATGACGTCATCTTTATCGTGCCATTGTACAGCACGCGACTCATCTGGAACCCCCCATGCCAGATGAAATTTCTGGCATGGGTAAAACTAACGGAAACGCCAGTCTGATATGCAAGAAATTCATTTCCAGCATGATAGATCCAAATAACACAATGTGAAGCCACATTAGGCTATATAGTAAAAGGTTTACAAGATATTAATTAACATATAATATTTCACCTTATCATCCCACGGAAGGAATCTTTTAATGTAGTTTTTCCAACTCTAATGATGGCACATTTACAAAACCTAGGGTTCACATTGGTCACCTGAAATAAATGATCATGTAGTTATGTTTGAGAAAACAAGTCTGTGGGGTTGCTGGTAACACAGAAGACCCTCAATTTCATCACAGCAACAAGAATCTTGACCATCAGTAGAAGCAAAGTTACATGATATAATTCTGTATAATTATGGCCACCTATCCTATCCAAATACTTATTGTTAGTTATTGTCATTAGTAGCCTTATCTTAACTTTTTATGTTACCATAGCAATCATGTTTTGTAAACATTTTCAAGAAAAAAAATACTGTCATAATCTCTAGTTTCCATGACTGTATTCACATCCTTAATAAATATCAATTAACCAGGCTGCCATATTGTTTAGAACTGTCAAAATATTCATATCTTTACAATTTTCCAGTACCATTGAAAAAAAAATGATATGAAGACAGGAAGATACCAGGATTGTTTCCTCTCATGAAAGAGTTTTTATAAACTGAATCACTTTTAATTTGATTGGTTTCATGACTCTAGGTCAATTACTTTTTGAGCTACGTGCGACACAAAAAGAGAACGGACGGATGGATGGACAGACAAGGATAAACCTAAATGCCCCCGCCCCCATAGTGGGGGAACAAAAAGCATTAACCTTAAAGACACACTCTCAAATCAATTCCTGGAACCAACCAGTTATAATCAATGAGCATACTCTCTTGCTCAAGGAAACAACAGCTTACCCCTGAATGGGTTTGAACCCAAGTGGCCAGCTATCTTTAGATAACTAGCCTGACTAGTTAACCACTCAGCCATGCCGCAACATAAAAGAATTTGATGTCCCTGGCGTGAATCTAACTGGTTAAAATGGCTACTCCTCATATTCTTACCTTTGCTGTAACTAGAGCATCAACAGATGGGACAACGTTTTCCTCTGCATTCCTTACCACCTCCACCAATGTCTAAACAAAGAATGTATATCATTTCAATAATAAAATATGATCAAAAATAAAATATGAGTTTCCAAATTAAAGGAAAAATCATTTTTACCATTGAAGTAATGCATGGGTGAGCAGGCATGCCTGATTCTATAGCATGTGTATACTGTTGGGAAAGGCTAAAAACTTTCAGTTTCGGCAGGTCCTAATTTAATAACTTGGTTATTTACGGACAAGTCTTTGCCACCAGTATCTCCAGGTGTTAGTTTAAAAATAAAGCATAATGATTCCCTTTAGTTTAAAATAATGAAGTAAAGATGTATATCAAGGTTTCAGTCAAGATTTATATCAACCATCAATAGTACTGGATGGCACATAAACAAAATTTCACCATTATATAAAATCTGTCATAAAGAATGGACAATAACATATCAAATTTAAAGCAAAAAGTTCAATATACAAATTTGGCAGGTAAAGGAATATAAATGAAGTTTATAGTTGTACTAAAACATTACTCACCATCCCATCTTCATTTTTTGTAGTTATTAATGGACCTGCGAGTGATGAATATATGAAACTGTTTCTGGTGTAAGTGCCTCGACCAGCCTTCAACTTATCTTCTTCCCGACATAAACGCTGTCCTAAAATATACAAAAACACCTGCAGTCAGAAAAACAGCGCACAACTAGTCTTTGCTTTATAACAGTTAATAATCCCTTGGTGTGATTACATCTAATTTTTGGGTGTGATTATAAGAAAAACAAAAGCCAGGCAGTAAAATTATGGATCTTAGTCAGTGACCTACCAACCATGATTCCAAAAGACACATGCAACATTTCAATGAATATCTTAAAGGGTCGAGGGGAGGGAATCAACTTCCGAACAAAATTAAATTAAATAATCAACTTTCATCAATTCAATTTCCATATATTGAAAACCAGGATAACTATGCTTTAAATATAACAATTGAATGGGGGAAAATTGTTGAATTAAAATTGAGTAAAAATATATACTTTTTCAAGTGGGAAATCAAGCACACATTTTGCCACAAATTAATAATATGATAAAGATACATGCAGGGCTGCAGATAACATGCGTATTTGCGTAATTACCCAATTAAAATGTCAAAAAAAGCAATAGAAATAATAACTAAGGGTAAAAAAAAGTAAATAAATTCTTATTTATAATATGCAAACTACATTGGAACTGGTGGGTAAAGACATAAGTTTTACTTAATGCTGTACATCAGGCAGATCATACTGTTTCAGACTGTTTTAACCTTTAAATCATATCAGGCAGCTTGGACATCTCCTAGGCCAATAAACCATAAAGCATAGTAGTAAGTAGCTTTTTTATTACCATACAAAACCTACAACAGTCTACAATGAAGGTCAGAAATTTTGGGTAAAATATATGAACATTTGCTTCAAAACCCAAATTGGTTAGAGTGGGTAGGGTAAACAAGAGCTGTCAGAAGGACAGCGCGCTCGACTTTTTTAGTGCTTGCCTATAAAACAAAACTTTGACAGTTAAGGGCACACAAGACTTTAACTAGGAATTTCTAAGTACAAATCAAGAAACATTTTCACAGAGTTATCTTCTCTTGCTTACAGATAGGTCTCATGATGGCACATAAGAACTCCAACTTCCAAAGTAATATCTCAAATGGTTAGGTCAACAAGTGGACAAGAATGAAAATTTTAACTGAGTCAAAAAGGGCCATAATTCAAATAAAATCCTTAACAGAATTACCTTCTCCTGCCCATGTTTGGGACCATGATGGTAAACAAGTATTCCAACTTTCAATTTAATATCTCAACCAGTTCAGTCAAAAAGTTGACTGGTACAAAAAACTTAACCAAGATTCTAAGTCGATAAAAGGCCTTAATTTTTAAAACAAATCCCTGACAGAGTTACCTTCTCTTGCGTACAGATGGGGGTAATGATGTGAAAATAGCATTAAAAGTTTCAAAGCAATATCTCAAAAGGGTTAAGGCAATAAGTGGATTTTACCCATATTCAATGTATTTTCTAAGTCAAAAAGGGGCATAATTCTGTCAAAAACCTTGACAGAGTTATGTCCTCTTGTCTGTTGATGAAGGTCGTGATGGTAAACAAGTATGGTCAGTTTCAAAGCAATACTTCCAATGGTTTTGAAATAAAGTGAGGTGGTACAAAAAACTTAACCAAGCTCAATACACTTTCTAAGTCAAAAAAGGGCCATAATTCTGTCAAAAACCTTGACAGAGTTATGTACTCTTGTCTGTAGATGGAGGTTATGATGGTGAACAAGTATGGTAAGTTTCAAAGCCATACTTGTAATACTTCTGAAATAAAGTGGGGTGGTACGAAAAACTTAACCAAGGTGTGACGCCGACGCCGGGGCGAGTAGGATAGCTCCCCTTTTCATAGAAAAGTCGAGCTAAAAATACAGAAATAACTCTAAGAAAATAGAAAAAAACCTAATAGATCACAAAACAAGGGGTAATCACCCAATATACACAAAATGTTATCTGTAGCCCTGTACATGTATGGAGATGAAAATAATTAATTAATGTTTTGCAAATTATAAGCATGGATAGGGAAAATTTAATAGATCTATACAAATCTTCACACTTGATATATTTTTCTAAAGTTTAGTGGCTTTTTTTTCCCAACTTTGATCGCTTATTTGGAGGCTTGCATAAAAAGAAGAAGAACAAAATAACTACAGTCACTTGAAAACACAACTTTTTTATGTTCAATCTAAAAAAAGTTTGATTTTTTTTTTAAAAGTTTGATTTTTTTTTTACAAACTGAACAGTTTACATTTTACAGTTCAATACAATTATGTATAATATTCTTTTTATTTCAAAGTTCCAAATCATTCTGCAAATCGCAAATAATATACATGTACACAAATTTTGTATTCTATTCTAATCAATAAAATTATCAAGTCATTCACCTTATCCCACCTTATTATCACAATTATCACTTGGAATTTTCTGTAAGATATTTATACACCATAAAGCAATAATGAATCAATTGCTCTAAATAAAAGTAAATACATATACAAGACTATTTCAAAATCGAAATTCTTTCAGTTAATTCTGTTTAGTCGGCAAACCATGACATTTTATACCCTTGAATTTATATGATTTCATAGTAACCTATAAAATAATGGTGACTTTGTGCAATGAATTTGCCCAGATTACATTTTTAGAACAGTCCATTATCAATTTGGTGGTTATCAAAAATTAAAGTAAGTAAGCCAGCTGTATTGAGGCTGGTCAGACTGTAAAAATGTGCAGACTAGCCTGGCTCCATACAGGTGGCAAAGGCTTAATCACTATTTGTTCTAGTAGGTTAATAGTTAAAGTCTCTACCAAGTCAGAGCCTCTGATAAAGAAGCTTTAGATGCGAGGCTTTAATTACATGTATACATAGCTCTCGGTCAATAGATAATTAATCTCTGCACCTTTCTCCTCGATGTTGCTGTAATAACGACATGGTTCTTAATCATAAAAAAAAAACACCATAATTTTGAAGCTGCGGAAAATTCCACTTGTCCAGTTGGACTTAATTAATTTTGTCACAATACAGTTACAATCAGTTACTGTTTTGGAAAATATAACAAAAGCTGTCGGTAGGACAGCACGCTCGACTATTCTAAGTGCTTGATAGTAAAAGAGCCTTGATAATGTTAAATTTTTTAAGTTCACAAAAGGGCTAATTTTTTTTTATAAATTTATATTATAGGCCTTAGAGAGAGTCTAATTATACAGTATTGGCTTGACTATTTGGAAGGTAATGTCACAAGGGTGTTTTATTGAGTATAATAATACTAATTACCTATGAATACATAAATTTGACAGAAATGGTACAAAGACTTGCTATAAGATTTTTTATAAAATAAATCACTGCTTTATTATTATGAATGCATAAAATTGTCCCAAAAAAGGCACAAACCCTTCAGTAGTTATTGAGATAACAGCTTACAAGCAAAACTTTACCATGAATTTCTAAGTTGAAAAAGGGGAGAAAAAAACTGCCTAAATGCAAGATAGAATTATGGATCTTTGTCAGTGACCTACAATTATGACCCTAAATGCATATGTGAAGTTTTAAATAAATATCTTTAATAGTTATTGAGATAACATGCATGTAAACATTAACCAAGACACTAAGTAGAAAAGGGGATATGAATCAGCCTTAATGCAAGACAGAGTTATGGAACTTGGTCAGTGACATACAACTATGACCCTCCAATTATGACCCTATTTTAGTGCATGTGTAAAGTTTCAAGTAAATATCTTTGAAGACCTTTAACCAAAATTTCTAAGTTTCAAAGGGGCAAATAATTCTGCAAATATTGCAGGCAGAGTTATGCAATTTGCAAACTGATGTACATTGTTACTATAAAAAAGTATTTTAAATTTCAATTGAATATCTCAAGCAATAATTGAGATATTTGACTTTACAAAAAAACTTCAACCAAAATTTCTAAGTTAAAAATGGGCATAATTCTGTCAATATTGTAGGCAGAGTTATCCAACTTGTCAATCTGATGTACCTTGTTACTATAAAAAAAGTATTTTAAATTTCAATTGAATATCTCAAGCAATAATTGAGATATTTGACTTTACAAAAAACTTTAACCAAAATTTCTAAGTTAAAAATGGGCATAATTCTGTCAATATTGTAGGCAGAGTTATCCAACTTGTCAATCTGATGTACCTTGTTACTATAAAAAAGTAGTGTAAGTTTCAATTGAATATCTCAAGCAATAATTGAGATATTTGACTTTACAAAAAACTTAACCAAAATTTCTAAGTTAAAAAGGGGCATAATTCTGTCAATATTGTAGGCAGAGTTATCCAACTTGTCAATCTGATGTACCTTGTTACTATAAATAAGTATTGTAAGTTTCAATTGAATATCTCAAGTAATAATTGAGATATTTGACTTTACAAAAAACTTTAACCAACGCAGACGCCGACGCGGACGCCGGGGCGACTACAATAGCTCTCATAATTTCTTCGAATAGTCAAGCTAAAAATGAAATAAGTTTAACTTTGAGTTTATACATATTTATTTTATTACAGATATGTTCACAATTATATATTCAAGTTTATGAAAAGTCTTTTTGAACATCAGTTTTAATAAAACATGTACAATGTTAAAATTTTTATTGTACAATGTACATGTAATGTATGCAGAAAACAAGTCTGAACAGTGGCAAACTCCAGCACTAGTACAGATTACTCTATGTTCTTTGCCTAGAGGTAGATGAGTGGGGACAAGTGGTCTTAATATCTAGTCGGGCGCCACCATTTTCAATGTAAATCAATGATAATAGGCCGAGTCACTGTTACTGTTATTTTCCGATAACAAACAATTGCAACTTTTTGGAATAATAATAATCGTTGAGAACTCCGAATGAAAACAGAAGCAATTCAGACTTCCCGTTCATAGGCTTTGCCTAATTTCATATTACATATGAATAATCTGTAGCTGAGTGTAAAGTTAGGAAAGTATGTGGAAATAAGAAAACAAATTGAACTTAACCAGTGTTAACTCTTTTTCATTTCAATTTTTTTTATACATGTACATTAATGTCATGGCAATATAGATTTGGGTCTTTCAAATAGAATAGATAAAAAAGAGCCCAAGGGCAGAGTATCAAGTTCTTCCAGTATACTGGCCACATTCAACTAACTGAAGTTTACTGTCAGGTTTACTGCTAGATCTACATGTACATGTTTCTAGACATCAATAATAACGGAACTGCCAGAAAATGATTACAAAAACACATAAAACAAGATTCTTGGTTATTAACTGTCTGCTATCTCGCCTCATCCAGCGAGTATTTCAACATTCAGGATTTTTTTCTTTATTTCCAAGTGTCGCGAAAACACATAACTTTTCAAATTCTCTTAAATAATGTAAATTCTGACAATGATCTGACAATGAAACTTGTAAATTGTGTTATTCTGAAAATTTTATCAGCAATGATATTTTAAAAATAATATTTTGTTAGCTCAGTAGAAAGAAAAAATTCTTTCAAAATACCTGGAACACAAACCATGGGCGCAGACATCTTGGATTATTCCAATAATAAAAGGGTGGTATATTTATGAGCAATTTTTGCATTAAGCTAAAAAATATGTAACCAAAGAGAAGAAAATCCAAGATGTATTTTCAAACTAAATTTAAAGCTGAATACTTTTTAATTTCCTTTTATTTATACGTATAATTCTATCTGAACTATGACTGTAATGCCCTACTCACCTATTGCAGAATAGACAAGTCCAAAAGTAAAGTGAAAATAGAATGGCTGACAATTTTTCTAACCCAAAGAGATTAGTAAGTTTTTCTGTTATTTTATGTACTTAATGAAATTAGATAATATCCAGATCAAAATGAATCAGTCAATACTTTATTTACATGTTATATGACGTGATCTTGATTCCTTGACTGTTACAAAATTTACTTGGTAAATGTTGCAGCAGGAGTGTACACATTAATAATAATAATAATTTCTAACCAACTTCTTCTCTTGGATACCACAGGTGCTAGTTGCATTGATTTGACCTAAAATGTGTTTGACCTTGATATTTATACAATAAAATATCAATATATTAAAAAAAAAAAATTAAAAAAATTTTTTTTGACCTAAAATGTGTTAAATGTGTTTGACCTTGTTATTTATACAATAAAATATCAATATATTAAAAAAAAAAAAAAAAAAAAAAAAAAATTTTCACTGTTATATTATTATAGTCTATAAAAATATAACAGTGAAAAAAAATTTTTTTTTTTTTTTTTTTTTTAATATATTGATATTTTATTGTATAAATAACAAGGTCAAACACATTTTAGGTCAAATTAATGCAACTAGCACCTGTGTTGGATACCACATAAATTCAGTACAGTGAAGATTATGAGTGGACACTGATTGTGATAGCATTCACGAAAATCTTTTTACAAGAAGAAATTTTTTACATGTCAGTTGTGATAGAATAATTATTATTTATAATTTGGATGCTCCTTATAGTGTGACGAATATGTACACCAGGAGGTGAATTTGTATACATGTACAGTACAATCCACTTATGTCTGCACCTGGGATTTAAGATCAGTCCGCTTTAAGACCAATTTTTAAAAGAACAAAATTTTCTTTTCTTAATGATCCACAAGTAAAGTCCACCACCTCATTTAAATCCTGTTTTAATCCACCTCTTTCAGTCCTCTTTTCTACCTGAGTCAGTCTACAGGTATTTCACTCAATTATAATGACCACTGAAAATCGAGACAACACATACTTAGATTCAAGTTTGCTGTTATTTTCTGCTTAAATTTAGGTATGACACTTGGTGAAATTGCAATAATAATAACATAATTACCGGGTATACAAAGTCATAATACTAAATATCTTAGTCCACTGGACTCCAGTGCTGATGAGATGTTTGTGCTATTTTGTGTATGGGCAATTAATCTCCTCTCTCTGTAAAGTCTAAAAGGCCCAATATGTCACAGATATGCTTTTATTTTAATTTCACAAAAGCTTTTCATTTTGGGTTCCCTTTTAAAGTTTTCTTAAATAAATAGTCAATGTTTGCCCAATTTTCTGAGCTTAAAATTTAAATATTTTGCTTCTGCTGCTTTTTTGCAATAAAATATACAGTGATTTAGTATTTTGTATGGAAGTGTATACACTAATTTGTTTACATTTTTCTTCTTTTCATTATGACAAATTATTTCACATTCAGCGCTACTTTCTTCAGGTAATAAGCATCTAACAATTCTCTAAAACAATAATTTAAATGTTATATAATTCATGTTTGCCATTTAAAAAGAAGAAAAAATTTAATCACTTCTGAGGCATATTGTGCCTTTTATATGTGTTATTCTGAATGATATTATTCCTGTTTTAGGCTCACCAAGCTGGAAGTTATGATTCTGAGTTTGAGTTTGACAGTGAATCTGAAAGAAAAAGGTATACATGTTTTATATAATTATACATTGTATGATTGTAATATGAAACTGATTATATAAATGTGTAATAATATGCATGCTTGGAAAGTATATAGTGCACCAGCTGTTGTAAAGAGTTTATATCCAATATTACACTTGAAGTCATAAAACACACTTAAAAAGCGTCTCTTATTTCTTATTTATGTTGTCTACTTTTGATATACTCACATACAAAACCACATACCGGTAATATTTATACATACATTTTATGAATATGGCATCTACAATAAGGCAAATATAAAGGGTACATTATTTGCTTATAGACTTATAATTGTTAAAAATTTTACTCTCTGAGTTACATTTAGATTATAAGATACAGTTCAACTCAATGTGGTTTAAACTGTCGAGATATATATATCATATTAGTCGCGTCACGATAAAACCAACATAATGTGTTTGCGACCAGCATGGATCAAGTGGATCTTGATCCATGCTGTTTGCTTACCAACCCTATTACAAGAACAGAAACTGATAGCGAACAGCATGGATCCTGATCAGACTGCGGGGAGGAGCAGGCTGGTCTGGATCTATGCTGGTCGCAAATGCATTATGTTGGTTTTGTCATGACGCGGCTCATATCATATGTTACTTTATGGATAGGCAAGATCTCCACCTCTCACTCTGACTCAAACCAAAATATTTTTTGTCTCTGCTGAAGACATAAAGCTATTTTATTGACTTAAATAGTAAAATGACCATGTTCTAACATTTGACAGAATTTATTTTAGCTTGATAGTGTAAGAAGGTATATGCTTACAGACACACTGTGGTATCTGTTCCTGGAACCAACCAGTACTTAGCAAGAATTGTAAAGAACTTGCTTAATTAAGGAAACAACAGCTTGCCCCTAATTGGGTTTGAAACCACGCGGCTTAACAATCCTTAGATTACTAGTCTGATATGTTAGCTACTTAGTCATTCTGCCTACATGCATACTATATACTTATTTTGTAGAAGGAAATATGAAGACCTTGCAAAAAAGGAAAAGAAGAAAAGCTCAAAGAAAGGTCACAAGCGAGAACTCGAAGATGAATACAACAAGTATGAACTAAGTCTTATAAATTTCACCACTAGTCTACAAGTTAATTCAGATTCTTAGATTGATAAAATAACAACAGTTAAAGGCTCATTATGCTTTTACTTTATTTTCTCAAAACCGTTTTATTTTTGGTGTTCTGATATAGTTAACAAAAAGTAACTCTGTGGCCAATTACCTGAAACATGGCATCATATGCTTTTGTGCCTTTTGACAATTTGTACAGTTATGGACTGATTTACTATTTTGTATGGAGGTCAAAATATGTCTATGTTTACATTTTGCTTACTACCTTTTATGACAAAAAAATTCACATTAAGGACATGTTACTTCATGTGAAAAGCATCTAAATTGCTCTAAATCTATTATTTAAACAATATAATACTCATAGTTGCCCTTGTAAAAGAGGAATGATTGTTATTGTTTCTGTGGCATAATGTGCCTTTAAATATATCATCAAAATTTAATATATGAATTGATTGTATCTTAAATCTCATGACAAATATATTTGAAACTAGAGGCAGAATTCACACCAAATTAGCCATGATGCTTTTTACAAAATTAGAAAAAGAAAGTGAAAAAAATCTTTAACCTTTAAATTAGCCTGTTAGCAACAACATATTCTACCTATGAGGCTAGTGCAGACCATGATCAGTCGGCATTTAGCTGTAGTGTTTCAGCATGGTCTGTCCTGTTAGCTATTCAGTAGTCCATAGTGTGAAATTTTGTTTGTTTGTTTGTTTGCTTCATTTTACGCCTTTTCTCAACAGTATTTCAGTCATATAGGCGGGTAGTTTCCTAACCATCGTTCCTGGAGAGTTACACCAGTACTAGACTACCTTCCTCCGCGCTAAACTACCAAAGCATCTCCCGGGGATCGAACCCACGCCAGAGAGGTAACTGGATTAGAAGTCATCGACTCTAACCCCTCGACCACGGAGGCAGTGTGAAATTAAACCCAGAATAACATTTGTCCAGATTTAATGGTGGATAAGTTCATTTAATATATTTAGAATGGTCCCGTTCAGTCCTGATGGTTACTTTCATTACCAGTATTAAAATATTCTCTGCAATCAAGTGCTTTAGAAACTACTGTCTACATGTCCATATATTGAGGTGAGCAATAAAATCCCACTTAGGTTTTTTTTTGTATTATATTTTGTTTTTGTTTTTCTATCTACATGTCCATTTACTGAGTTGAGCAATTAAGGCCCACATTGACCTCTTGTTTTATATTTTGTTTTTTGTTTACATGTTCATTAACTGAGGTGAGCAATAAAATGGCACTAAGGCCCCTTGTATAATATTTTGTTTTTGTTTTTCTGTCAATACTAGCAATGAAAGTTCACTTGGGTCTCTTGTATTAAATTTTGTATTTCTGTGTACATGTCAACTGAGGTGAGCAATAAAAGACCACATGGACCTCTTGTATTATACTATTTTGTTTTTGTTTTTCTGTCACCATGTCCATTTACTGAGGTGAGCAATAAATTGCCAGTTGGGCCTCTTGTATTATATTTTGTTTTTGTTTTTCTGTGTACATGTCCATTAATTAAGGTGAGCTGTGAGGTGGGCCTCTTGAATTATATTTTGTTGTTTGTTTTCAGAGAAGAGGGACGTATAATGAGTCACAGGATAGTCAGTATGGATGCTGTATCCTTTACTTTCCTGTTGATTTACTCGAGTGATATAATCATGATTAAAACAGCTTTGCCTCCAGGAGTTGTTTTTGAAAATCATGCAAGTCATCCTGGCAGCTAAATATGATTTAATTGTTATATTTATGAATATGTAAACTTTTTGCTGAATTTTAACAATGATTATGTAACTATAAATTCAAAGGAACTCCACTGAGGTCTTAGTGCAAAAAAACATAAAATTTGAAAATCTTACAAATACCAAATGAAGCACTTATAATGGAAAACTCTGCAAAAGATAACAAAGAAATTTACTCTGAACTAAATTGAAAATTAATTACACAGTAATTTTGAGTCAAATTTGAGAGAAAAACGTGGAAACGCTGTTTCATTTTCTGGTCTTTTTTCACGCTTAAATGATTATTCTGGAAAAACAGTATGAGGGAATGAGCTAAATATTTATACATAAGTTATTGGATCAATTGGTACACATATCTTGGAAAAATATTCTCTGTCCTTTCATGTCTAAAATGTCAAATAACTCTGACATTGATTTTACTGAATTATATATTATGGCCAGAGCTGCATTACTGGTACTGGTAATGGTACTGCAGTACGTACTGCAGCGATTTTGCAAGTACTGGTACTGATACTGAATGACTCTTACAAAAATTTGCTACTACTGGTACTGCATTACTGTCTTAAAAAGTGGTACTGCTACTGTGTTACAATGCAGTACTTTTGGTTTTAATAAAAATAGCATCATTTTTTCTCATAAAATAAAGCTGTATTATTTCAGTTTTTATTATTATTATTATTATTTATTATTTTATTTCAGTAAAAAAGTAAGATATCTAATCTATAGATAATTTGCTGCAATATTCCTTCAAATGTTAACATAGTATTCAACATAAAAAAACACCAAAGACTTCAAGTAAAAATGAAATTGACATAAACAGACTCAATAACTCTTAACCCTAAAATATTCTTATTACAATCTTTTAATACTTTGTATTTACTAGTAAAAGAGCAAAATAATCACTAATTAATTGCTTCTATTCTAAATAATCCTATTTCAAGTGATATTGTTAGCACCATAAAAAGTTCTTATTTACTTTAATATAAATTGAAAAGAGGTGTAAAGGTGTGAAAGGCAACAAAAGACTGTTGTGTTTTAAATGAAAGATGATTGCATTGTATTACAGTTGAGTGGTTACTAAACAATAAGATATGACATGAATATATATTGTAAAAATTGTTTGTAAAAAGTATGTTAAAACAAGTTGTAAAAATGTTATGCTATCTTTAAAGCTACATGCCTCCAGATGAGTCAAAATATTTCAATAAAATCAAACTTGAGAAAAATGTACTAATATGTAAGGAACAGTAAAAAGTTTCAAGATTCAAGTAATATTTTACATATTATGTGTAAGTAATGACTAATTTTTCCATATTTCAACTATATTTCTAATGAGTTACTAACGCAGTAACCCGGGTGTAAAAAGTCCATGCTTTTCCAGGGATTTCCATGGAAAATAAGAGGCTGGAGTATTGGAACAAAATTTTCCAGCCTTTTCCAGCCTGAAGCTGAGAAAAAATGGGCTGGAAAAACAGGGAAAAAACATGGAACATTTTCCATGCTGCATGGAACATTTTCCATGTTTTCCATGGAAAAGCATGGACTTTATTCCATGCTTTTCCATGTACATGGAGTATTGGAACAAAAGTATGGATTTTTTTCCAGGGTATTCCATGTGTCTGCCAACCAAAGAGGCTGGACTTTTTACCATGGTAAATAGTCCAGCCTTGATGGAATAACATGGAAAAAAATCCAGCCTAATTCCAGCATCCCTGAATGTTCTTAAAATTTAAAATTCTCTGAAGAAATTCAGCACAGGAATGTTTGGGGTGGAATTTTTATTAGTTTAACATGATCACATATTTCTTTCACAAAATTTAATACATATCCTTTAGTCCAAATACAGAATAGAACATCCTACATTCACTATAGCACAAACAGTTATTTTTCTAGCTGCAGGTTTGATAGCTAGGTTCTGGTTGTCTTATAAATTTTAGCAATTATTTTGCTCTTAATCTGTCAATGATAAACTGTTTTAATCTTAGATTTGTTTCAAGTGTTTCTGATTATTTAAATTACTATTTCTTATATTGATGTCCATTTTCAGTCCTCTACCTATGTTTCCTAGAACTTCTTGTGGTTGTGCTCACCTTTAAAGAAAAAATTCATAATAAATTTAACACAGATGTGGTAATGACTTATGTTTTATTGCATATAAATATTTTGCAGTTATATTTGGTATGTTTTAATAACATCAAATCTAATGTTTCAAATGTATTAACTATTAAATATTAACTATGCTTATGCATATTCAAAAATACTAAAGCATGCAGTATATCTTATTTCAAAGTGCACAAGTGTTTAAGAATTTCTCTGTACATGTATAAGAATTAAGTAAATTTGGGACAATATTTATCACCCAGTATTTATTTTTTCAAGAAAAGACATGGAATAAAAAAGTACAGTCGTATTGAGATTTAAAAATATACCTTTTCAGGATTAATACTGCACATCATTATTAAACACTGTTGGTAATTCTCACAGTCAGCACTTATGTCCCAGCCTGCAAGTTATGTAATTGTATAATGTAACATGTAATTTTAGATTGTTCCATTGAAAACACAACACATACATGGAAATAACAAATGATTATGATGACCCTGTTCAGCTGTTCAAAACTACTGATTGTACCATTTAGTCCTATTAAATCAAATTGATTTAATTTGTTTTATTTGTAGGAAATGAAAAAGATCTACTAACAATTGTCATTTTAACAATTATACATTATAAAGAAATCATTGAATAATTTATATTTTAAAGATTATACATGTATAGATTAAAAACAATTATCAGAAAAAACAAATGCATGAAGTTGAAAATATAAAAACAACCTTGATCTCTTGTTACAAATGTTGATAGTTTGATATATAACCTGTTTCTGCATTGATGTAACTTAAGGTTTATAAATACCTGATTCTGTTGTATATCTCCTTTTCCCAGGTGATTCTTATTGTTATCAATACAATACAATACAATACAATATTTCTTTATTTTGTCAAGATTACATATAATGTAACAACAGACAATTTACAAATAATATCAGTATTATAACATATGTGGGTTAACAATTTATATAGAACGAGACATGCAAAAAATATTTCGAAAACAACAGTTTATAAGAATAACGTGTCTAATGTTATGAAAGTTTTGATTAAATAGCCTTTACCAGGGGAACAGTGTAAAAACCGGGCATTTTTGCATGTACACAAATAAGTTCTATTTAGAAGAATTATACAAGTCAATTTCTCCCAACTAGTACTTTATATCTAGCAGTTTTCATACTATAAAAAAATAAAAATTGGAGACATTAGAATAAAACTAACAGTATCTATACGTTCGTAATAATCTCAAATAACTGTATAAATACAAAGACACGATTTACTATTGTGTTGCACGATTATTTTGTAGTAATCATGTCAGTCTAGGAATTTCATTCATAAAGTGGATTTAGTCGGTAGCGTTGACCAATCAGAGTAAATTTTACCTGGCAAGTTGTTTAATTTTATTTATAAGAAGAAAGCAACTTATTGTTTCAAAATATATGAAACAAACATACTTAAAGATTTCAAGGTAGCATAGTCGGTACTATTTAACAATTCATTATACTTGATTACATTTGGATGTTTATAATAATATTCTGGGATATATTTTTTCCTTATGACAGTAAAACGTTTACAGGACATAATTGCGTGAAATTCGTCTCCAAGTGTTCGGCACTCTTCGCAGATACGCTTGTTGTATGGAGTATTGTTATATCTTAGAATTTCTATCGGAAGACGGTGATTAGCTGTACGAAATTTAAGAAGCGGTATGTACAAGTTTTTCGGTAATATTGTTAATAGTCTTCTCTTTATGTTCTTGTTTATACAAATAATATAATTTTCCTTTGTTTGAGGCTTGTAATTTTCCATTCCAATCTGTTATAAATTGATCTACTAGCACTTGCTTTATTAGTAAATGGATATTTTTTATAGTGATATCTTCTTGATTCAAGAATAGATAGGGGAAACCTGTATTGTTTAAAATATCTTTTACTGAATTTAGCCATCTGTAGGAGTTATCACTTTGAATCATTATTTTGTAAATAATATTTGAATATTTATTCGAATCATTTGTTTTTAAAATATTCCAAAACCGAATTATTTTTGTATTGATATTTATTTGCAAGGGATAACGCCCCAATTCCCCATATAACATATAAGCGGGGGGTACTTTTCCTTGTATTTGTAATTTTTCTTTAGAAAATCTAAATGAACCTTTTCTATGTCGTTGTTATTTTCTATACCCCATATTTCGCTTGAAAATGTGAGTATGGGTAAGATTGTGTTATCAAATAATTTAAGCTGAAGATCTAAAGGTAGATTTAGGTTAAAAAACGTTTGTATAACAAATGCATCGCCTTTTTTGCTTGAGTTATAATATGGTCACGTGCTTTGTTAAATTTGCCAGTCTGACTAAAAACAACTCCCAGATACTTATATTGTTCTGTTATCTCAATAGGATGATTATTTATGTAAAAATGTTAGGTTACGAGTACCGCGTTTATTCGAGCCGAAAACAATAACTTTCGTTTTTTTCTGTATTTATTTGCAGTTTCCATTCGTTGCAGTACGAGTAGAAATCATTTAAGCATTTCTGAAAAATCTTGAGGGTTTTCGCGCCAGAATAATAGTATCGTCCGCGAAGAGAAGAGCTAGGATAGTTAGAGTTTCTATGTTTCTCGTCGGATGCGTAGTCTAATGTAATCCCAGAATTGCCTTTTGATGTCAAGTAAGCTAAAAGGTCATTAAGATACAGGGAAAATAAAGTGGGGACAAATTTTCCCCTTGACGGACCCCAATATCGCACGAGAACATTGCTGAAGTATTGCCATTTAACTGGATACAAGATTTAACCCCTTTATACATATTGCGGATATTAGTCTCAGGAATTTTCCGTTTTATTTCAGTATCGATTAATTTTTGGAAAAAAGTTGCGCACGTGGTAAATTATCAAATGCACGAGAGAAATCAATGAATCCGACATATAGTTTTTGTTTATGTTTTTTTAAAAATTTCTATGAGAAAATTCAATGTAAACACATGATCAAGAGTTGACATATTTTTTCTAAAGGCAGTTTGATTTCCATGGATCAGGTTATTTGTTTCGACAAACCTTGTCAGTCTATCATTTAGGACACTAGTGAATATTTTGAGAGACAGGATAAAATCGTAATGGGTCTATAGTTTTCCGGGGAAAGTTTCGAACCTTTTCCTTTATAGATTGGAATAATGTAACCCTCTGACCAAGTGCTAGGGATAATACCAGTATCCAATATCTTGTTGAAAAGTTTTGCATAGATTGGTAGCATAATATTCTTAGTGCTTTTAATATATTCGTTTGATATGGAATCGGATCTACTATATGCTTTACCATTTTTACATTTTATAATAGCTTTGCTTATTTCGGAATGCGTAATTTGTGAATTTAATATTTCATTTTCGTAATTCATATCGGTTTTCATCGGCCATATAGCTGCTATTTTCAAGATGGTTTATTTACTTTTTCAAAATAATCACGAAATTCTTGTAAATTTGGGGTTTTTATGTCTTTATTACGATTTATGGAATTTAAAAACGTCCAATAACCTTTGGGGTCACTTTTTTCAATTTACGCAATTTCGATTCATTGATAAAATTATGTTTATTTATGTAATACTTCATCGTGCGTTTATACTCCTTGCTTGCGCGGTTGAGTAAGTTTCGGTTATGCGGGTTATTATTTTCTTTGTATGCTTTACGTGCACGGTTATATTGGGATTTTTTACTTCTGCAGTGAGGCCCGAACCAGGCTTTGTTTTTGATTCGTAATTTGTTTTGCGTTTGTTTTTTACGCATTTGAGATTGTACATTACTAGTATGAAATGTGCTCTTGGCGGAGTTTCCAAAAATAATTGAAATGTTTTGCATGATATCATCTAGAAACGGTGATTGCGCAGATTCCTCCGAAGGAAAATTTTCTAGAAGGTTTAAAATATGTGATACATGTTCTTGGTCTATGTTTTGTACAAATTCTATACTTTTATCTGATTGCCATTTAAAGTGCTGGGGACTTGCTTCGGTTTCGCTAACATCTGAACTACTATTATTTAAGACCTCTGTGTCAGATCCGATAATTGTTGTAAGAAGTGAGTGGCCATCGGAAAAAATGCTATCAAGTTCAGTAATGTAGAAATCTTTGAGATATTTTAATAAGTTTGCAGAGGCTATAGTGTAATCTATAACGGAGTTATTTTTAAATGTACAAGCCGCTTCAAGGCTATCAATCCCAAATCTACCATTGAGTATATACAAGTTATTATTTATACAAACATCAACTAGTTTTCTACCTAAATTATTAATATTAAGGTCTTTGGACGCTCTATTTACATTTATGCCTAAACTTCTTAACACATCCGTCTGATTAAAAAAATCAACCATATTTTCATCAAAATCAAAAAAGCTTGACAAAAATGCGTCTGGTTCTGAGAAATCCTGCAACAATCCAATATGAGCATTAGCATCACCAGTTAACATAACATTTCCATAAGAGTTACACATATCAACAACTTCGTTTTCAAAAATTAATAATTCATCTTGGTTGAAGAATCTTGAGGACTCTGGTGGGATATACACAATACCTAATACATTGTAATATCAAGCATTTATTTGACTGAAATGGTTTTTTATTTATCTTGATCCAAAATACGTAATCTGATGTAGAATCGATTTTTTCAACATGTTTACTAATATCATTTTTGATAAAAGCCCCCACTCCACCAGAGCGTCTCAATGATGCTTGTTTTCTAGGCTGGCTTAGAAATACATAATTATCAATGTTTATTTCATCATAGTTTGCAATTTTACATTCTGTACAACAAAAAATATCATAGTTTGATACTAAATCTATAAATTCTGGGAAGTTCGATCTTGATTTAATACCACAGACGTTAAGCGTTCCAATTTTTAGTTCACTACTTTTGAGGTACTTATAACACTTGTTTTTATCACTGTTATTACAAGCATGAATATTGTTCACTGACCCCTGTCTGTCCTATGTGACGGTATTACCAATACTTAAACACTTTAAAGTCTTAAACAAAACAATATCTCCAAAACTGCTAAAATATCAAGTACATCCTCTGTAATTTCAATGCACTCTTTGCTGACCCAGATATCTTAGAATTCAAAATTTACAACAGTTACTCAGGACAGGTCTATCATTATGTAAAGCAGGGTTAATCTGCTCATCATTTTAACTTATATTCTTTGAGCGTGAAAGAAAATATGAAATAGCTAATTGATATATAGATTTTAAAGATCATTACAAATTTTTGTACAAAAATGATTGCAATGTCCTTCTAGACACATTCTTCATATGAAATTTATAATGTTATCTCTCCCCAAAATAATCACATGGAACAGCCTGATCTGAAATGACCAGTGGAGTAAATTAGTCATGCACAGATGGTTAGAAAATGCTGGTCAATGAGTTTTATCAGAGCTCTGATCTGTGTAGCGTAAAATCTCAGTGGATGTAGTATTTATTTTCCTAAATATTGGTCAATTTAATATAGAATATATATGAGATTCTTTCATGCACTGTTTTTTGTTTATTTATTTATTGTTATCCAAAAACATGAATTCTTACAATTTAAAAATGGCAAGCAATGCAATCCCTATCATCTTGATTATTATAGTGTCTGAATGATTTAATCACAGACTTTAATTAATTTATAGTTAAACTTAAAGCCTGTAATTAAATGGATATTATTTCATTGTACATAACTTCATGTAGATTTATTTAAATAATAATATGTATTTTGAACAATCAATTCATTTATGTCTTTAGCATAGACATTTTTTATGAGATACCCTTTTTCAACTACATAAAAAGTATAAAGTGTCAAATTTCAAATCATTTACAGTAACTTGCATTAAAATAAATGATGATTGTATATTTTCTTCGTAAGTTTACAATATTGTGCTGAATATATAAAGTAAGATTTCTGTAAATTTTTTACAAGTTTTTTCCAGCATACTTAGAGAAAGTTTAACACATTTCCAGCATCAAAAAAATCTAAGTTCCACTTTCCATGCTACATGGAAGTAAAGTCCATGGTTTTCCAGGCTTTTACCACAAATGTCCAGCCAATTTCCAGCCTATTCCAGCAATGCTGGAAATGGCTGGACAAAAAAAGTCCACATAGCATGGAAAAAATACCAATTTTCCATGAATTTCCATGAAATTCCATGCTTTTCCATAGTTTTCCAGGGTTTACCAGCCTCTCTTCCAGGCTTACCCTGGAAAATCTACACCCGGGAAAGGTTATTTATGTATATTTTGACCACTTTTTGGTAATTTACGTGGTTTGTAAGTGCCATTGATAATGTGTACATTGCTCCCTTTTTGTTACTTCACAATATTACACATTCAAATACATTTAAAAAATGTTCATTAATATTTGCATGAATCTGGCTACATGCTGCTTTAAAGTAAATTATGATTTTATTTCTTTGCTGAATAATATTTGCAATTATTTGTTTGACACTGTGTAGATTCTCTATTTATTATTTATTCAAACTTTGGTTATATGTTTGACACTGTGTATTTATTCAAACTTTGGTGAATATATAAAAGTAATGGTACTGATACTTAATCACTTCCCCCAAAAAAGTACTGGTACTGCAGTACCAAGCTAAAATCTAGTACTGGTACTGGTAATGGTACTGCATAATTTGCCAAGTACTGGTACTGGTACTTAAGTACTACACCCTTAGTACTGATGCAGCTCTGATTATGGCCCTCTATGAACTAGTGTTAAAAAGAACTAAAAGAAGTTCTTTGGCCATTATCTGAGACACAGGTAAACTGTGTCATGTATTCATTTAAATGAAATCTTGCTATTTTTATAAATTCCTACTTTATTCGGGCTCTTGTTTTACTATCTAGCACTGAAAGTAGTTAAGTTTGCTATTCTACTGACAGCTCTTGTTTATAATTGATTTTCAGAGCTCAAACATACTGTATGTAAAATGAAAATAAGATAACTAATTTTTATACTACATTGTATTTGTGTATGTAAGAAGTTACTTTCCCTTAACTTTAGCAAGTTCGACCGTCATAAGTTACTGATAAACAACTATTTAACATATTACTGTGGCCAGAAAACAGATTTCCAGCGTGATAGGTGAGTAATCTTTTTGTAATCTATTTCACCATAGTTTCATTCAGTACTGAAGGACTGGCAATGCCCATGATGTTGTTATTTACAGGAAATTTATGTGATCCCTAAGGAGCTCCTAGTGTGATCCCCAGGGAGCTCCTAGTGTGATCCCAGGGAGCTCCTAGTGTGATCCCCAGGGATCCCCAGGGAACTCCTAGAAAATATTTATGCTCCTGCGTTAATTCTGCACTTTACAAGATTATTTTTTCATATAAACTTTGTTCAGAGTCACTTAAGTGTTCTAATTGGCTGAAATACTTCTTATACAATGCCATATATACAGTGAAAAATTGAAGCTTGCTCAAAGAATACTGTACTTGTACCTCAGAGACGGTTTATTTGTATGTGCATAAAACTTATTATTCCGTTTTGTTCTTTACATAGCATATTACTCGATTCAAATGTTTTTACTAAAAAAATAAAAAATAGTTAACTATTTTTTTTACTTAAGATGGATTAATTTTATTATTCAAAAGCACTCTTAGATGTCATGGAAATAATAAATTATATATTTGATGAAAAAATTTCCAGGGGGTGTAAACAATAATTAACTCCAGACCTACTGATGGCATTTCCAGGAGATTAAAACAATTAACACAAATCAAAACAATAATTAAGTCCAGACCTACTGATTGTATTTTTAGGGGATTAAAACAATAAACACACTGCATAAAGAGAATTACAAACAAAAGCACAAAATGTTGAGTGCAAATCTTAGTTTTCATATACTACAGGTACAATAACCATCCTTAGAATTGAGAAACTGTTCCTTTAAAAAAATGTGTACTCTTTTGAAAAAACATTAACGCTTCCCATATTAGGTGCATCGGCATGGCAGTACTTCTAATTCAAGGGATAGGCCTTCTTGGCCAATGGTCAAGGAAGGTGATTTAGAATCTCTGGTCCGATGCCTCAGTGCAATGGGTTCGAATCCCTCTAGAGATTTTGGATTCTTTCTTGTTCAAAGAAGATATCCAACTATAGGTACCGGTAATAAGTTCACTTTAGCCCTTAGTCTGTGGAAAGCAAAAATCAGTGATAAGTCTTTTCTGACATTAAAAAGCCAGGTCAGTAGCTCATCCATGTAGGATAATCAAGCTCTATACTGTTAGCCCAATTTTTGCATCTTGATATTGAAATTCTGAAACTTAAACATTTTAATGGAATGTTTCAAAGATGGGCAAAACCATTACATGAACTCAGTAAGTTACATGTAAGGGCTGAGTGTCCACTCCTGCTAAAATTAATGAACAAAGTACATACATGATATTCTTGTAAAACTCTACAGTCACCATAGTAACCAGTGCTGGTTTAATCATTTATCCATACCATGTGCTCTGTGTGTTTTGACACATTTAGTTATTCTGAGAGTTGCTTGCCAGATTCAAACCATGTGTTGTGAAATTATCAACAGAGATACTCACAACCTTTATTGAAGCTTTAAAAAAGTCCTTTAATTTTCCTATTAATTTGACGTATGGTTTAAAAATAATATTAATATAATTTTTATTTTCGGCAAAGATTACTACAATGTATTGGTTACAAAGAGACTATAAATTGTGTAACCAAACCTCAACTTAAAAATGATGTTTAATGTTATAAGATATTTACACCATATTCATGAATTGCATGCTTATATCAAAAACCTTTGACCTTAATTATGATTATTTTATTTTGATGACTTTTTACCTTCTATTTAGATCAAAAGATAAAACAGACATGGATGTGATAAGGGAGAATCATAGATTCTTGTGGACTGAAGAAGATGATCCAGATGAAAATTGGTATGTCATTTTTGTAGATGATAATAAAATTCAACATATTTTAAAAAAATGCTCAGTCTGTTTATCTTAAAGGTAGCAGATTATCTATGTGTTCAGTCTGTATGTCCAGGAAAGTAAAAACAAGGGTAAGTCCAAGGGTAGCAAACAATCCATATGACTCTTGGATTAGTGTATATGTCTAAGGGTAGTGTCCATGTGTAGAGTTATTAAATTAGTTCCATGTGTAGCAAAAAGGCCTTATATCAAGGGTTATTTAAAATTCCGTGTGTATCAAAATGTTTGTATGTCCAGGGTAGTTAAAAATTTCATGTGTAGCAACAAAAAATTACGTGTATGCCATGGGTTTTTAAAATTCCATGGTTAGCAAATATCATGTGTCCAGAGGTAGCAAATATGCATTATAATGTCCAAGGGAAGAAATCATTCTATATAACAAATGGGGTAAGTTAAAAGACAATATTTCTATATTATGAAAGTGTATTTGGAGGTGGGCTGTTAACACAGGTTTGACTGTACTGTTTTTGTTTTATTTATGTACAGGTCAAAAAGACTGGCAAAGAAGTATTATGATAAGCTATTTAAAGAGTACTGTATAGCAGATTTAAGCAGATACAAAGAGAATAAAGTTGCTATGAGATGGAGAATAGAAAAGGAGGTGCAGATGGGCAAAGGTTGTATAATTTGAATAATTGTAACTTACATTTGTTATGAAAAATAATCGTTGCCCTTAAAAAACAGAGGTTAACACTACATATGGTGCTTTTGTTAAGTTTCCAAGTTGAATGGAATTTAGGGCTATTCTGTTTGTTGTTGTATTTCATCCTAACCTTCAACTGTTTGATATTTTATTGTTTGATGTTGTATTTACTCCTTAAATATTCAAGTGTTTCATTTTGTATTTCCTCTAAACCTCCTGTTCAAGCAGTTGATTTAAAAATAATGATATAAGTCTAGAAAATTTATACAATTTTAATACAATAGCAGTTACATGACCACAGAATATTTTTATTTTAATTATAAAAAGTAATTCACATTTTCTTTTTGTCTGTATAACATAGGTCAATTTATTTGTGGTAACAAGAAATGCAGTGAATGTGAAGGATTAAGAAGCTGGGAGGTGAACTTTGCTTACATTGAGGATGGACAGAAGAAAAATGCCCTTATTAAACTCAGTATGTATAATTTTACTATAATGAATCAGTTCAGGAGTAGGGATCTTGTTGAAATGGATACTGATGTTATTTTACAAGCCCCTTTAACTGCTGTGGGTGCAAATGGACCTTTCCTTTTTCTGGCAGTGAAATGTTTAGCGCTACCTATTCTATTAATAACTGCTCACAAACAAAACCATATTTAAACCAGATCTATTTTAGTAACTATGTATTATCCCTGCATAGCAGTCAGCCAATATGCATAAAGCTGTAAACAAACAGGATGTTGAAGAAGCTATCAAGATAGATTTAGGGAAGGTTTGTGGTTTGACTCAAATGCTGGCTTGAACCAGAAACATTGAAGGGAGGAATACTGGAGGTCTTCAATCATCATTTTAGGCAAAAATAAACATTAAATCATTGGCGTGACATGGAAAAACCCAACCAAATAAAGATTCCAAATTAATTTTTCATTTTTTAAGAGCAAATTTTGACGTTATTGTAGAAATATAATTATCATTTAAATGATGAGGTAAATTTCCCTAGTTTCGGACGGTGTAATACGTTTTGCCCAAGGCCTTCCAAGTCTTATGGACGGGGGCTAATGTGATTTGATTGGGCCCAAAATAATAACCCAAAATGGCAGTTATTTAAATCGGGTTTAAATAATATACATGTTTTTTAAAAGTAATAAATTTCTTTTGGGGAATCTCCTTTTAAATTCACATCCATAAAATGGGGATGTTTTGGGCCAAACGGAAAAATCAAAAATAACATTAAAAAAATATGTTTTTTTTTACGGGACTGTGCCCTGATTTTTCTAAATTAAATTTTAATATATAGGAAAAGTGGAAAATTTTTTTCTGTTTTTTTCAAAAAAATTCCCCATTACAAAAACAAAATCACACTTAAAACATTGTTTTCCCTCAGTTTTTTCCCCAAGTAAAAAACCCTTACCATTTTCATAGCCATTTCTACGCAGGGGACTAATACATAGTTTTTTTTAAAATGGTACCTTAAAATGGACTGGGCCCTTGCAAAAACAATTGGCTTTTCTTTTTAGCTATGTGAAAGGAAAGTTAAGGATTATCTTGCTTATATTCTTGTGTATACATATTGTATGAGAGGAAAAGGGAAATAAGTATGCATAGTATTTGTTATATTTAATGGACAAATCTATTTAAGATATTAAACTTGGTAAGGATTAATAAACAGTGTTGCAAACTGTATAATCTTATTGAACAACTTGCAAACAGTGTTGTTATTAACTTTTTTAACTTTCAATTGTTCATGAACAGATTCTTTCAAAGTTGCTTTATGATTTAAGAGATAATAAATTTGAATTTATATTTTGATATATTTTCTTTTTAAACGAATGTTTGTCTTACATTTATTGCAAGTATGATAACTCTATTTTTTAGGAAAAAGGAAATTAAGCCATCAAAACGTAAAGACAAGGGATCTTCTAAAAAAGAGAAACAAAGTAAAGAAGATATACAAAACTCAGGTACAATATTATGCAATGATCACATTTACATAAAAGTACTATAATAATTATAACAGCCAATGGTCTTCTAGCAACACTCGTTTCATTTTATTGTCTAGCTACAAACTTAATAATTTCAGTTGCCATATATACTCATAAATATATATAAATAAAAAATGAGAATGAAGATCAACAAGGCAAGGCAACTTTTACAGAATACATCCCCAACACAATCCAGTCACATCAATAGGGCACCCAGAAGGCACTGAACTAAAAATTGGGGAGGACACAAGGGCGGTGAAAGAAGGGGAGGAATATGTAAGAAGTAAAATGATAGAAATTAAAAAGGGCCAATACAGGATTTAAAAGGAACAAGGGGCATAAGGGAAAATGAGGGGTACCATAAACTAATTATTATGATATTGCTATGTATAATAGATTATATTGTCATGTCTCCAAGGAATCTGAAACACCTTGCCTTGTCAATCCTTCCATCATCTGTCCAGACAAACATCCAATATTCTTCAGCTTCAATCCATCCTTAGTTTTAGTTGAAAACAAGGAAATCATATTATCCATTTGGATCCGAAGTGGAAATTTTCACACAATTAAACGGAAATTGCAACCTAAACATGAAAGAAAAAGCCATGTTGGTATTTGCATGCATCACTCTCTTGTATGTAGAAAAGTTGAAAAGAATTGAAGGATTTTACAGAAAACTTCACACAGTGATAGAGACCTGTGTCCAGGAAACATACTTTTACCTTGTTTAATTTTTCAATTGGCTCCCTTTTTGAAAGAGCAGTGTCAAAGAGTGATATCTCTACATTTCATACTTTTGAATAAGAAATAATGCTTGTCTGGACTATAATTCCTTAACTTTGGAAAGTAGTTCATTGAAACTTACATTTACATATATCAGACCTCTTTTTATAATTTAAACACTGTTTGTTTCTTTAAGAAGCAAAGGAAACGCTTGAATTCCCTTTGTTATATGAAAAATATGACTTGCCCATATGATGATATGACTAATGTTTATAGTTTATTTTGATAACTTGATACTTGACATGGGGTATACAGACTATCTAAAAATGGAAGCACATAACACATGGGGAGGTTGTTTTGAATGAAATTGTGTTAGATAATGTGCTTGTCTGTGAATAGGATTGGCACAGTGGAGTACAAATTAAGAATAACAAATTATTTTCATATTCTAAAGCTCACCAGGATCAAAGGTTATGTATCAGCTTAAAGTAGGATATTTTAGAGGGATGGAACAATATCAAAACTGTTTGTTTACTTCTCTGAACATATTGTCAGATTTACAAAATGACAGTCTGTAGGATTCATCTTGGTCATATACTCATTAGTACCATCTCATTTTCTGGGGTTTTTAGCTCACCTGTCACAAAGTGACAGGGTGAGCTTTTGTGATCGCTTTTCCTCCGGCGTCCGTCCGTCGTCCGTCCGTTCGTCGTCCGTCCGTAAACTTTTGCTTTAAATGACATCTCCTCATAAACCACTGAGCCAATTTCATCCAAACTTCACAGGATTGTTCCTTTGGTGGTCACCTTTAAAAATTGTTCAAAGAATTTAATTCCATGCAGAACTCTGGTTGCCATGGCAACCGAAAGAAAAATCTTTAAATATCTTCTTTTAAACAACCCTAAGAGCTAGAGCTTAGATATTTGGCATGAAACATCTTCTAGTGAGTGTCTACCAAGTTTGTTCAAATAAAAGCCCTGGGATCAAAATTGGCCCCGCCCCAGGGGGTCATTGATTTTCCCTATATGCATATAGTAAAAACTTAAAAAATCTTCTTTTAAAGAACCCAAAGAGCTAGAGCTAAGATATTTGGCATGAAACATCTTCTACTGAGTGTTTACCAAGTTTGTTCAAATAAAAGCCCTGGGGTCAAAATTGGCCCCGCCCCGGGGGTCATTGATTTTCCCTATATGCATATAGTAAAAACTTAAAAAATCTTCTTTTACAGAACCGTAAGAGCTAGAGCTTAGATATTTGGCATGAAACATCTTCTAGTGAATGTCTACCAAGTTTGTTCAAATAAAAGCCCTGGGGTCAAAATTGGCCCCGCCCCAGGGGGTCATTGATTTTCCCTATATGCATATAGTAAAAACTTAAAAAATCTTCTTTTAAAGAACCCAAAGAGCTAGAGCTAAGATATTAAGCATGAAACATCTTCTAGTGAGTGTCTACCAAGTTTGTTCAAATTAAAGCCCTGGGGTCAAAATTGGCCCCGCCCCGGGGGGTCATTGATTTTCCCTATATGCATATAGTAAAAACTTAAAAAATCTTCTTTTAAAGAACCATAAGAGCTAGAGCTTAGATATTTGGCATGAAACGTCTTCTAATGAATGTCTACCAAGTTTGTTCAAATAAAAGCCCTGGGGTCAAAATTGGCCCCGCCCCAGGGATCATAGATTTTCCCTATATGCATATAGTAAAAACTTAAAAAATCTTCTTTTAAAGAACTCAAAGAGCTAGAGCTAAGATATTTAGCATGAAACATCTTCTAATGAGTGTCTACCAAGTTTGTTCAAATAAAAGCCCTGGGGTCAAAATTGGCCCCGCCCCAAAAACTTAAAAAATCTTTTAAAGAACTCAAAGAGCTAGAGCTATGATATTTAGCATGAAACATGTTCTAATGGGTGTCTACCAAGTATGTTCAAATAAAAGCCCTGGGGTCAAAACTGGCCCCGCCCGGGGGGGTCATTGATTTTCCTTATATGTGTATAGCAAAAACTTAAAAATCTTCTTTGAAAAAACCCAAATAGCTAGAGTTTAGATATTAAGCATGAAACATCTTTAAGTAAATATCTACAAAGTTTGTTCAAATAAAAGCTCGGGGGTCAAAACTGGCCCTGCCCAAGGGGTGTCATTGTTTTTTTTACTATATATGTATAGCAAAAACTTTAAAAATCTTCTTTTAAAAAACCCAATAAGCTAGAACTTAGATGTTTAGCATGAAACATCTTCTTATGGGTGTCTACCAAGTCTGTTCAAATAAACGAATAAAAGCCCTTGGGTAAAAATTGGCCTGGGGGGGCCTATATACAGGTGAGCGATCTCAGGGCCATCATGGCCCTCTTGTCTAGTGTTCTTTTACCCCTAGCTTGCTATTGGCAACCGATTTTACCCATGCAAGCAGTGCAGACCATGATCATCCAGCACATCTTTGCCTTGCCAATCTGATCATGGTCTGCACTGTTGGCTATTCAGTCAGTACATATTTTGAAAACATAACTTAAAATTATGAATGGTTTTTTCCAGACTGAAAAAGATTTTAACTTATATAATGGTAAAGATTAGTTGCCCCCTTAAAGTGAATCATTAGAGCACTTGAGTAACCTTGCTCATGTTGTTAGCAAATTTGTATGCTTGTGAGTTATGCAGTTGCCCTCTTGTCAATTATTGCTTATGGTTTGGCTAATTATTGACTAAATAATGATAATGTATGCACACATCTGAAAACAACTTTTTTTAGAAATGTTGGTTATAATAGAGGTGTTGATGATTAATTTGAATTTATTGATTAGACACTAAAACAAGCAAATAATAAAGAGACTCTTGTCAGGTCAAATATATTATCACACTAATTTTACAACTGTTTTATGAATAAACATCACCATGGTTTTTTTATAGGTGAAACTCACAGTAAAGTAAATGAAGATGAAGCAAAAACAACAGAAGAAAGAGAAACTAATGAAGAACCATCAGGATCTACAAGTTCTGAAAATATATGGAGTGGACCAGCTAAAGTTATAGACGAAAAATCCAGGTATTTAAAGTTAATACATGTTATTATTGATTGATTATAACTTCACTGGGCTAAATTTCCTCTGATCAATTGAAATTTAAAATGTATATTTCCGTTTTCCTACATAATCTTGGAATTTACTTTCATTATATTGTAACTTTATGACAGTAGAACCCTTGTTTCCTCATTCAACGCCGTCGTTTCGAGGAAGTGGACTAAAATGTCGATAAACAATTTTTTTTTATTTATTTTTTTTTTTTTTTTGGGGGGGGGGGGGGGGGGGTTCTTTAACAATCTTCAGCTTTCTGAAGGGGTAAATATAACACCTTGACTCAAAAAAAGGAAAAAAACTGAAATCAAATACCAAGAACTAATGATTCATCATTGCCACATATTTAATCAAATTTTCAATTTCATTGCAATTTAACATGCAAGGTACATAGCAAAGGCTGTTTTTATGCACAGCATATAATAAGCCTGAAAAATGTAAGCCAAATATCACTGATAAAATGCACAAACTTACTACAAAATGGAGCATAAATACAATACATTTAAACTAGATATATACATGTGTTTTAACATGCTATACATAGCCTAACATATTTTCCAGTTCAGAGGTAAATTCTGTTTGCATAAATGCAAATAAATGTATGTTACAATTATCACTTTCAATCTTCATCTTGGTCAATGTGGTAATTTTTTCTCGCTTATTATATCATTTAATGAATCAATATTTTCTCTTTGCCATAGCAACAAAGTTACTGGTTCATGCCTTATTCCCATATAACAGTTGTTTGTATACTGTAATTTATAATATATGAAATAACATAAATTTCACGAATCTCACATTCTTGAATTAAGTAATAAATCGACCATGATATTCAACAAAATAAGTATATTAAAAGTCTGTTATATCACCTTTGCTCATCAAAGTGATCCATTGATAATAGTGAAAAAGTTAATGAAAAGTGTAAAAAGAATGAATTGTTACAATTAATAATTTGACATGACACCGAAGAATTGCACTGTCAGCATAATACATACTTTTTTGAAATGTTTATAACAGATATATTGACATGTATTTAACATTACATTAAAACATTGAACATTGCCCACAGACATTGTGACACATGTATTTAACATTACATTAAAACATTGAACATTGTCCACATACATTGTGGCATGTTAATTTTACATAACAATAAACAGCTATTATTTTATCTCATGTACATGTATTTAAAATGACAATTTGCATTGAGCATAATGCACGTATTTAACATGACACAGTGAGCATTGGCCACAAGAATTGTGACACATGAATTCGTATTGAACATGCCAGTTGGGCATTGGTCATTAGTATTGTAACACATGTATTTAACATGCCAGTTGGGCATTGGCCACAAGTATTGTGACTCATGTATTGAACATGCCAGTTGGGCATTGGCCACAAGTATTGTGACTCATGTATTGAACATGCAAGTTGGGCATTGGCCACAAGTATTGTGACTCATGTATTGAACGTGCCAGTTGGGCATTGGCCACAAGTATTGTGACTCATGTATTGAACATGCCAGTTGGGCATTGGCCACAAGTGAACATGCCAGTTGGGCATTGGCCACAAGTATTGTGACTCATGTATTGAACGTGCCAGTTGGGCATTGGCCACAAGTATTGTGACTCATGTATTGAACGTGCCAGTTGGGCATTGGCCACAAGTATTGTGACTCATGTATTGAACGTGCCAGTTGGGCATTGGCACAAGTATTGTGACTCATGTATTGAACGTGCCAGTTGGGCATTGGCCACAAGTATTGTGACTCATGTATTGAAACGTGCCAGTTGGGCATTGGCCACAAGTATTGTGACTCATGTATTGAACGTGCCAGTTGGGCATTGGCCACAAGTATTGTGACTCATGTATTTAATATGACATAGTAATCATTGGCTTTAATAATTATGACGCACATATTTAACATGACAAAGTGAGCATTGGCCACAAGAATTGTCCACATGTATCTAACATGACATAGTGATCATTGGTCACGATAATTATGACGCACGTATTTGACATAACAATTGAATGTGAATAAACATAGCAATGTGAGCATTAGCAACATGTATTTAACATGACAATTTGAGCATTGGCCACATGTGTTAAACATGATAGTTTGAGCATTTTGTACATGAACTGTGCATATGTATTAGACATGACAATATAGCACTGAACTCATGTATTAATTATGGTTGAATGACTGAAGTGTTTGTTAATTTTGATTACCAGGAATTAAGTATCTGTTTTGAAGTTTGATAAAAGAAAAACAACATGTAAAAGAATAAAAAAAATGATTTCATGATTGCTTTTTCATGAAATGTTTTCTACCTTTTCTTGGCAGAGGTAATTGAATTTCTATTGATTACTTTGTTCAGATATACTCTAATCTGTTCCCAATTATCTGTAGGTTCAATCTGTCTAAGAATGACTATAGGCTCAGGTATAAGTCAGTGACTTGTACTTGATTTACTTTCATTTGTCTTCTAAGCTTTTCATGAGATAGTGATCCTATTAACTGTCATTAATAGAATTAGTCTGTAATTGAATCATTTTGTAGGTGTTGGAATATATTGATAATTGGGTGATAGTTTTTAAATATGTTTAGACTTAAAAGTAAAAGAGCAGACCATGATCAGAAGGCATGGATGTACCGGATGATCTTGGTCTGTACTTGTGGCATGATAAGATTGAGTGGCCACCAGCAGTCTAAGCGTTAAAGAAAACCGCAATTTTTCACAAAATGCTCATGCAGTAATGGGTTAAACTTATCACTACTGATTTGTCACGCGAAGCTTATTCAATAGTTATATATATTGTATAATTAAAGTCCAGAGAGGTTTCAAAGCATTTTTTGAAAGTCATCATAATGGTTTTCTACAATCTTATAATCTGATATATTCAGGAATGGTTGTGACAAATTATTTTATATATGGATAATGACAGTTAACATCCACTTACAATAATGAAGTACATGTATTTCGTTTAACATATGTTTAATTGAGTATTTTATTTAGTACAAGTGTTGTGCCGAAAAATGATCAAATTCATTTATAAAAAAAAAAAGAATAAATATGCATGATGATTTTCTATATATAATCATTTTCTAAAAGGTCATATTTTCAAAACAAAATTTGTGAAATTTCAAATATGTTAAGTTACAAATATTATATGTTTCAATAACAGATGTCAAATTTAAAATTATGTAACTGGAAGATTAAAATGCGGCTTTTCCTCTTTGTCCAATCAACTGTGCTAAAAGTTTTATAATATATAGGTGGTAAGGTCAATTAAGCTGTCTGTACTTATCATGTTGTTAAACCTTTACTAAGAAAGAAACATTAAAACATAAAACGGAACATTGTGTTGTAATTCAATCCACCTTCAGTAGAACCTATAATTTAGCGCATAACACAAGATCATTTCAATTATTTTGTCTAACTCACTAAACCTTGAGTAAATCAATTATTTTCTATTCTCAAATACTTCTAAACAACAACAACAAATATTATAGGTTTAGGTCTTTGTATTTGACAGAATTATTACATTTTAAGAACAATAATTCTCTAGTCTATTGCAAAAAACATCTGTTGGAATGAGTGCTGTCTCGAATTTCAGCGTAGTCATGATCAAATCAACTGAAAATATCTAAAACTAAGAAAACACTGTAAAAATAAAACCGAACATAAAAAGGGTGGGTGGAACGGGAATATGTATGCTTTCTTCTGTCATTTTACGAATTGTATTCTATCAAATACAGACCGCGAGTGATACTTTTACGCATATATTCCCTTATACACGCACGAGAAAATTGTTCAAAATTATAAAGGAATGTGCAACAGAGTAAATCGAATTAACGTAAAATCATAAATATTTGCTATATATGTAACAGATACCATAAACTGCGTATTGTTTGAAACAAAAATAATTTCATTCACAATAGGTGCAAATTAAATTTGATTTGATATTGCAGGAAAGAACTGCTTACTTGTCACGAAAGGATTTTACAAAATCACTAAACTAAATCGCCTGAAGTCACAATGGCCATAGGTTAATGTCGGTTGACCTCTGCTAGTGTTGATAATAATTCTGCCTAGATTTTGAATCATTCTCTCTTTGAAAACTACCTGGGTAGCTCTTGGAAGACGCAAGATTGTTGATCTGTTGTTGACTTGTCTTCGTTCGTCAGTAAACATTCATTCTTTTTTTTAATTTTCATATTCGGCATTAATAAACATATTGATGCCTTTGGCGATAAATATGTCATGTATTTTGAAGTGTCTCCAGAATAACATATTGAAAATTTTCACCTGGACTTAATAAAAAATAATCAATTCTAAAAAATTATACATTTACATTCGTGCGTGGGTGCGTGCGTGCTATCTATCATTCATTCATTCCCTTTATAATTTCAGGGAAGAGGAATTCGACGAATATTTTGCTGATATGTTTCTGTGATGAAATGACGGTTGAGACAGTAAGACTTGTTTAGCATAATAACACATGTACAGGGAAGTGGTTTAGAACTGACGTAGGAAGGCTGCTGTATAGAAGGATCTGTCGATTAAAGTTTCAACAGGATTGAATCGTTTCTGGCAATTGCGATAAAGATTGTAATATTAAAGGAAAAAAAGATACATTTGTTGTTTAATCATTTGTCAACTTTGACGTTTCCGGAATATATAATTTGATACAATAGAGATAATTCCATTGTCAATTAGAACAGATAATGAAAATACCTAATTAAATTGACAGACTTGATCATTGGATAACACTATTGTGCGACAACATTTGTGCTGATTTTGGATAGCCTATGAATATTTTCTTGTTACTTGTAGTTTTTATTTTATGAGTTTTGAACATGAAGTTCTATATTAGTGAAAGCTTTTACCTTTATACCATATGTAAATTATGAGGAGATAAGATATAGCCTTGTGAACCAAACAGTTAGCTGTGTTGGCATGTTCTTTTTTAGTAAAATTCAAATCACACGGACACACTGTCAAAAACAAAATGAATAATATACTGTATTGATTTAAAAGATGATTGAAACGTTTGTTAACATATTCAATAAAAGTTATTGATACTTGGTTTCTATTATTAGACCCAATATGCCCCTGCAATGCTTGTATCTTTTTAGCTCACCTGTCACAAAGTGACATGATGCGCTTTTGTGATCGCTTTTCGTCCGGCGTCGGTCAGTAAACTTTTACTTTGAACAACATCTCCTCATAAACCACTTAGCCAATTTCATACAAACTTCACAGGAATGTTCATTTGGTGGTCACCTTTAAAGGTATACTATGCTCATCTTTGAGTAAAATATTCTTATGTCAGAAATTCATTGAAACCTATGAAATCCTTACTGAATATTTTAAATCTTAGTAAAAAAGTGTCCATATTTTGCATTGAAAGCTGCGTTCCCTATTTAAGGTCAAGTGAAGTTGGTCTTTTCTTAAAAAAACTGCCAGTTTTTCAATGACACTATATATTCATAATGTGACCACTTATAATGTATGGAGTTTATAACATAACAGATCTACTTTGAATTAAACCAAATTGTGTTTATTTTATATTTACAAAGAGGCTGTGTAGTAGTTATTTATATTTTCAAACCTCAAATTTGATCATAGTATATCTTTAGAATTTAATTTTATGCAGAACTCTGGTTGTCATGGCAACCAAAAAGAAAAAAACAAACCCTTAAAATATCTTCGCTTAAAACCCAAAGAGCTAGAGATTACATATTTGGTATGAAACATTTTCTAGTTTGTTCAAATAAAAGCCCTGGGGACAAAATTGGCCCCGCTCCGAGGGTCATTTATTGCCTTATATAATATATTTCTATTCAAATGTGGCCCCTGCCTGGGGGGCATTGATTTTTCTTATATGTCTATTGTAAAAACTTTAAAAAATCTTCTTTTAAATATCCCAAAGAGCTAGAGCTTAGATATTAAGCATGAAACATCTTCTAATAGTAATCTACCAAGTTTGTTCTAATAAAAGTCTTGGGGACAAAATTGGCCCCGCCCCAAGGGGTCATTGATTTTCTTTATATGTATATTGTAAAAACTTTTCTTTAAAAAAAAACCCAAAGAGCTAGAGCTTAGACATTAAGCATGAAGCATCTTTTAATGGGTGTCTACCAAGTTTGTTCAAATAAAGCCCTGAGGTCAAAATTTGCACCGCCACGGGGGGTCATTGATTTTCCTAATTTGTCTTAAGTGAAAACTTTAAGAATCTTCTTTTAAAAATTTCAAAGAGCTAGAGCTTAGATATTAAGCATGAAACATCTTCTAATAGTAATCTACCAAATAGTCATCTACCAAATTTGTTCTCATAAAAGCCTTGGGGTTAAAATTGGCCCCGCCCCAAGGGGTCATTGAGTTTCTTTATATGTATATAAAAAAACGACAACAAAAATCTTCTTTTAAAAACCCCAAAGAGCTAGAGCTTAGATATTTAGCATGAAATATCTTCTAATGGGTGTCTACCAAGTTTATTCAAACAAAAGCACTTGATTCAAAATTGGGCCCGCCCGGGAGTCATTGATTTTCCTTATATATATGTATATGTATTATAATTTTATACAAATGTTCACCATTCTGTGGCGGAGTGTCGCGTGCAAAATTTAAGTACCTGTGGCCAAGGCCAAGGTCACACATATTGGTTAAAGTTCAGATATAAATATGAAAATGTGTATTCGGACAATTAAGTCATCATTTATTGACGGATTGAAACACAAATGGTCATTATCATGTCAACTCTCGTGGAGCTAAGTATTGTACACATAATCCAGGTCCCTACTACCAAAGTCAAAATCACATAGAGAGGTTCAATATTGTGTACGGGACCATTTAGTCATCATTTGATGGATTGTAACACAAATGATAACTTTTATGACTACAAGTGTGACACATGTAATTTAGGTTAATATTTGCAAGGTCAATGTCACTAGAGATGATAAATATCCAGATATTGTCCGGATATTACCTAGAGCATATCTCCTATATGCATATCTATATGTAATGCCCACATCTCTGACAAAAGCTTTAGTGACGGACGTATTTTGCGACAATGTTGCCCTTGTTCTCAAAAGTTTTATGTTTTTGTGTACTGTTAGAGTTTCCAAAAAGAAACTCACTCACTAATTAAGCTATTCTTTCCTGCTGTTTCATTTTGACAATTAATACATTTGTAATGTAATGATTTAATACTTTGTATGTAGGTCACAATCTACTTTTGTTTTACGATTTGCTTCTTTTAATTACAAATGATTTTCCATTTACCACTGTTTTATTTTCAGATGAGAAGCATGTAACATGCTCTATAACCGATACATAAACGTTAAGAATAAAATGTATGCCTTTCTGAAGAAGGAGATAATCGTTTCTGAGACATAATATGCCTTTAACTTTTATCAAGTATATTGGTACTGTAACATTTTAATGTTTGTTGTATTGAAATAGAATATTTTGACGAATGATTAGTATTGGTAGTTTTCTTATATCACACTCACATTTTATCGCAAATAAATCCATGCACATAAATGAAGCTCCCCTTTTCACAGGATCAACAATGATACATTTCCTCCAACAACTAAAATCGGTCAATGTAGACCACCGATTTAAATATGAATATAATCGAAAGAATGGTATGAAGTTATGTATTTATGTTGGCCTGTCTTTCTTTTCTTGCACTTGTATAACGAGACTATTTATTGTGCAACACTGTTCAGGAGATGTTAAAAAAAAACTGTAACAAATGAATACTGTTTAAGCCAGTACTTGGGGGTATGTGAGATGCTGCACTTTTCAACATCACTCATAATCAATCAAATAGAGTCAATATTTTTGCATTAAATTTTGGTTATTTCATTCAATATTGGAACCAAGTAGAATTTCCCAAAATGCTTGGTACAATTTTTTAATTTAAGCATTACTTTACTGTAATATTTAAATATTATGTTACATGGCATGTAAATGTACATGCAGCAAAATTAAATACATGTATTAAATTTAAAAATGGCTATTAAGTCTGTATGCATATAAATCCATCTCTGAATCGCTAAGTCTAGACATCATTGATTAATTTGTCAAAGTACTTGTTCAAGATCATATGATGCAGTTTCCGCATAATTTGAGAGCTATTATTGCTCACATATTACAAACAATTGCATACACCTCATCAATTAAATATGATTAAATTCTATTAGCCTGATTTGAGTTAAAAGCCTTCAAACGCTTCTCGTTTTCGGGTAGATTTTCTACAAGCATAATGATTAGTCCGGAAAAATCGAGTGAGCAAATGATCTGAAATTTGCTCACATATTTTTTTATCCAGACGTTCAACAAATGATACATAGATCTTGAAAACACTATTTCTAGTCATGTCTAAAATCCTCAGTGGAGTCCTTTTAAGCAGTAAAGCTTACCTAAATGTAACTTGAGATAACAAACAGGAAATACGCAAAAGTTTCTATAATTCATTACACTTTCACCTTAATATATCGTATATAACCTTTAACAGAATAGAAGTCCTAAAAGTATTAATCGTATGCTTGTTATTCTGCAAAGCCAGAAAATTTTAACCAATCATTGATTACCAATTCATTAAAGACAGCACTCTAATACTTTCTATTTCAAAAGTTTCTGCCTCCAAACCCAGGGATCATGACGTTTAAGCTTTATTTAGTACTAGGCATTCTTATTTCCCCATATAAAAAAGCAGTACTGGGCAATTCCATGAAGCATGCTGGTCTTTCATTGCCATAAGTGATTTTCTTGAATTTTCTTAACATTCTTACTACTTTGTGAAGGGATAATGACTTAAGGAAATATGAAATAAAAACGCAACCCATAAGAATACAAAGTAACCAAATATATAATTAAATTTTCAGTTCATTTGCAATTTAGCTCGCAAGGTATATATCATAGACTATTTTTAGTGGCACACATTTAGTCCATTGAATTTATTAATAAATTCATTAAAGTCAGCTGCTGTTAAGTCATGTACAACCTTAAAATACATTTAATAGAACGGTGGCTTTTTCAGCTTATATATAACTTCTTGCATGAAATAAGAAACAACATACATAAGGCTGTAAATAAACGAACATTCAATGATAAGTTGGACAAACATATCAAAATGAAGCACATTCATATAAAATATATGTAAAGGATAAACATGTGTTTTTAACAAGCTGTAAATAGCTTAACTAAATTCCAAGTTTATAGGTAAATTCTGTGTCCATACATGCAATGTTACATTTAACACTTTAAATCTTCATTTTGTTCAATGTGGTAATTTTATCTCACTTATTATATCATTACATGACTACGCCATAGCAACATAGTTATTTGTTCATGTCAATTTCCCATATAACAGTTGTATGCTGTGATTTATAATATTTTAAATAAAATATATTCCATTGATGTCACTTTCTAGAATAAAGTAATTATAAAGCAATCACGTTAAGCAAGAACATAAGTGTATTAGATGTCTTTACTATCCAAGTGATCAATGAATTATAGTGAGAACGTAAATGAAAAGGATAAAAAGAATAAATCGTTACAATAAACAATTTAACATGGCATTGAAGCATTGCACAGTCAGCATTACACATAAATTGTGAAACGTGTATGTAACATTGCATTAATACATTGAACATTGCCAAAAACATTGTCTTACATGTATTTTACATTACATTTAAACATTGAATACTAGCTGCAGATATTGTGAAACATGTATTTTACATTACATTGAAATGTTGAACATTCCCCATAGATCTTGTGACATTACACATACATTAAGCATGTGTATTGTAAATAACATTTAGACATTGAGTATTACAAATTATAACATATGACCATTTATTTATTTAACATTGTCCATACCATACAAATTGTATTAAACATACCATTTACACAGAAAGTTTGTAACATGTAATGAGCATTCAGTCCTTTTGCAGGGTTCAAGCATAGTAATACATGTATTTTATGTGACATTGAACCATTGAGCAGAGCACATACATAATGATATGCTTAAAATGTATTGAACTATATCACATGTCATTGAAAAGTTGAG